AAATGTTCTCGTTACTATCAACGGTTTTCTTCCTAATTCCCCATAAACAGCCGGGGTACATGTTGAGGTTTTAACTCCCAGTAGTCTTTTACCAAATTTTAAGTGTATTCGTTCCATTTCTTTTGCCGGTATAGAGCCCCACACTTCTGCCCCATAGTTCATTTTCGAGACACACGCAACGTTGAACAATTCACATACCGTTTTACAATCTAGTGACATTTTTTGAACATTACTCATGAATGCATTATATAGTTGTAGAGTTTTTTCTGCCGTTATCTTCACATGTTTATTAAAGAGTCCGTTTGAGGAAAACACCAGTCCAAGATATGCAAAATTGTCTACAATTTCCAGGGCACTACCGCAATACGTAAATTTGTATCCCTTTTTTGTCTGTCCTTTTTGAAAAATCATTACTTTCGTTTTATCTACATTTACACAAAGGCCCCACTTTTCACAATAGGCATGTAGGCTATTAAGATGGTTTTGTAGCCCATTGGGTGTTTCGCTTATTATGGCTAGATCGTCTGCAAATAATAGTAGAAAGATGTTTATTTGGTCAATTTGAATGCCACATGCAAAATTTTCCTGTAGAGTTGTCTCCAGATCCTCTAGAAATAAGGAAAATAGCATTGGTGATAGAATGTCCCCTTGTAACACACCTAATTCATTATCAAAAAAATTTGTGAGGGAACCATTTACCCGAACACAGCTTTTCACATCCTCGTACATAGCTTTGATAATTCTTAACATTTTACCATCGATACCTAGTTTTAATAATTTGTAGAACAATTCATTTCTATCAACCGTATCAAATGCTCTACGAAAATCTACGAAGGCACAAAAAAGTTTTTTACCATTTGCAATATTTGTAATTAGGTATTCCAATTCGGTTTGCAATCCAAATTTTCTCTATTTTTATGCCCCCGTATCGAAGATTCGGGGGTATATAGTTTTTGCCCTGTCCGTCCGTCTGTCTGTCTGTTTGTTTGTCCGCAAAAACTTTAACATTGCCCATAACTTTTGATTGGTTGGAGCTGTGGCTTTCATATTTCACATGTGTATTCCTTGTGACAAGATCTTTCTTTGGGTTCCACCATATTTGACCTTTTGACCTTGACCTTGGAGTTTGACCCAGTTTTACAAAATTTTACCCAACTTTAACCTTCGCCATAACTTTTGAACAGTTGGAGCCAGGGCTTTCATACTTCACATGTGTCATCCTTGTGACAAGACTTTCCTTTGGATACCAACAAGTTTGGCCCTTTGACCTTGACCTTGGAGTTGACCTACTTTTGAAAAACTTTAACCTTGGCCATAACTTTTGAACAATTGGTGCTAGGGCTTTCATACTTCAAATATGTAATCCTTGTGACACGTCCTTCCTTTGGATACCAACAACTTTGACCCTTTGACCTTGGACTTTGACCTACTTCTGGAAAACTTTAACCTTGGCCATAACTTGTGAACCATTGGTGCTAGGGCTTTCATACTTCACGTATGTAATCCTTGTGACACGTCCTTCCTTTGGATACCAACAATTGTAATCCATTGACCTTGACCTTGGAGTTTGACCTACTTTTGGAAAACTTAAACCTTGGTCATAACTTTTGAATGATTGGTGCTTCAGCTTTCATAGTTCACCAGTATATTTCTTGTGAGAAGGTCTTTCCTTAGGCACCATTATTTTTTTACCATTTGACCTTGACCTTGATGTTTGACTTATTTTTGAAAAACTTTAACCTTTTCCATATCTATTCAATGATTGCTGCTAGGGCTCTCATATTTCACAGGTATATTCCTTGAGACAAGACCTTACTTTGGGTACCACATATTTGATTTGCATTTGAGAAAGTTTAACCTTTCCTATAAGTTGCCATATGGGGGCATCAATGTTTCACATACACATCTTGTTCTTAAATGTTTAGGAAATATTATACATTTATTGACTGGGTTCTAGGGCAACATGCGTTTTGTCGGACCCAAGAACCAAACTGTTTGCCTGAGGCCTTTAGGCCGAAGGCAAACAGTTTGGTTTGAGGGGTCGACAAAATGCATTTTGCCCAAGAACGCAGTCAATAAAGGTTTTCTTATACCTTTTATTTGTTTATTTTCTTATTTTTTTGTTTTCATCTATGTCGAACACCAACGAATGCAAATGAGATTTAGCTGACCCCAGCCATTATGTGATGTAAGCAGTCCAACATCTCATCGACAGGTCCAATATCTCACTCGGCGGTCAAACATTGATTTTTTTTATGCCCGCTCAGTAAAACAATGGAAATGTTAGACTTTTTTTAGTATTGATTTATATAGGAACACATTTTGAAAGGTATAACAATAGTTTTTTTTATAAGCAGCTTTGTATATTTAATTTTTTTCTCATTTTCACATAATTATGGTAAAGTAGTCATATAAACTTAAAAGGTACAAAATGATACAAAAACAAAAACTTCTGACTGTTTACTTAGAGAGAAAAAACACTTTTAATTAATTTTAATTAGGGAAGCAGAAAAGGAGATATTTTCATTCGGCTCCATTCTGCCAAAAAATATATTGGCAGTCCCTGCTAGACTTCAAACTCTGTTTATCATTTCTATTTAAAGTCGTACAGCTTTGAGGAGGAAAGAAAAAAACATGATCTTTTAAATCCAGCCCTTACATCTAAATATATAAGACATATACCAGTAACCAAATAATTATATTGAATATTTCATTTAGTCAGAAACCAGACAAGAATCCCTCCTTAACTTTTTCTATCCACAACTGACCAGACCATCCTTAATTGAGATGCTTTCAAGGACAGGACAAAGAAAGTCAAGGCTTTATAGGAATTGACCACTACTGGAGGCAATCTTAATTTATGAATCTTATTATACTGATATTGAAAGAGATCACACAACTCCATAAAAAAAAGCCAGGAAAAAAAGAAGTTACATCCCTTGGAACAAGAGCATTAGCCTCTATAATACAAGTCAAGTCAAGGCTTTGCAAGAATTGACCACTTCTGGAGGCCATCTTTATTTATGAATCTTATTATATTGATATTTAAAGAGATCACACAACTCCATAAAAAAAGAGCAGTAACACCCCTTGGAACAAGAGCATTAGCCTCTATAATACAAATCTGGTGCGGCTATGGTATCGTTTAGGCAAGAATTCTAATTAATTCCTACTATCACATCTAAAAGACCTAGAATTAAGAAACAAGTCCATATCTTCTGTGCTAGGTCATCCATACAATAAATGTGGCATAAACTTTCTTTGCAAGAGTGAAAAACCTTGGCCTAGGAATAATATATCATCTGGGATTTTTTTCATGCAAAAATTTGTTTTATTATCAGAGTGACACCTTTCAATGCTATTCAAATTTAACAACATATTGAACTGTAAATTTTTGAAGTTAATTGTGTCATTACAAGGACAGATGTGCTGATGTTATAAAAAATTGTCTGTACACCTTGTCATGACAAGATGGACAGAAAAAATTTCCAACTCTACTGATATTTTAATTTTATATCAATTTCATAGTAAATTGATAAAATATTGCTTCTTTGAACAAATTATTCCTGTTTGAATTATACAAACCGACTTGCCTATAACGTTGCACTTGTATGGCATTCATTATTTGTGACGTCATAATGAAAACTTTAAGGTCAAGATCTAAATGAGTTTAGACAGCCTTTTGGTGCCATTAATCCATCATGAGGAACTTACAATTAATTCAAACTTATTTTTTACCCATACTTTACAGCTATCATTAAATTATGTAGAAAATGAAGCATAATTTCACAGCATTCAATTTGAAATCATGTGAAAGTAATCTGGATACCAATATTCAATCTAATACTATTTTAAAGATAAAGAAAGGATAAAAAAAATTCCAGAAAATTTCAACATACTTGTTGACAGGATGAGAAAATTTAGGAATAAAAAGAAAAAATTGTTTCCTGGAGGCTACAAAAATTTTTGAATTGGGGCCATTTTCAGCCCATCTTTGCTAGCCAAGGGTTTCTGATTCGATACTCTCCTCACAAATCCTTGGCCTATGGTGCTGTCAAAAGTCTGGATTGTTAATGTCAAATGATCTTGAATCTTACCACATATTGCGCCATCAACAGAAATGGTGTATTTAAAAATAAAATTATTTGAAGAATAATTGACAAGCGGGTATCGAGCGATGTTTATTTGTTCTATTCAGTGCAAATTTACTGTATACAGGGTTATTTTCGCCCCATGTTATTTTCACCATTTCACACTTGCAAACAATTTTGCCCCATTTTAAATTCGCCCAACCAGTTTAGTTTAAGAAATTATACATATACTGTGTTCTTTGAATTCACCCCATTTTAAATTCGCCCACGTGAGTAGGGCAAAAGGGGCAAGATAAAACGGGGGCGAAATTTTCCCTGTATACAGTATATCTGCAGTATAGATTCCTGATCACATTATGTGCACATCTGCTTAAAGTTGGATGGCACCATAGCTATTTATAGAATGGCACATTATCTTATGGAAAGTTGTTCACTTGTATTTTTCAGTTCCGAGACTAAAGAGAGAAGATATATCCCAAACAGAGATACCATCATTTATATAAGCATTCACTGATTGGTCAAACAATATCAATTGGCTCCAATCACAACTCGAGAAAATTATCCCGACTTTTGATAGTATCACAGGCCAAGGGTTTGTGAGGAGAGTAGTGGATCAGTAAACCCTTGGCAATATCAGTTGGGAGGGGACAAACAAACAATTTTTTAAAGATGGCCTTACCACAACACACTTACTACAACACATCTGAAAGGATCTAAAACAACTGTGATTCACACATTGTTTATTAAACCTTCATTTAAGATTTCACTTTACAAAATTTTACATAAATTTAAATACTGTTACATGCACATTCATGATAGATATTTTCATATACTAGTATGTCATAAATATAAAGATAAGTCATCAACTTTTTTATATTAATAAAAAAAAAAAAACTATACATATACCACATCACATTACACAATAAAGTTGTCTATTAAAACAAGATAAAAACAAGAGCTCTATTATTTGAATCAAATAAGATTTTTTCTGCTAGTATCACATATGGAAAAAAGGTTTCATTATTTTTGTTTCACTTACAAGAGTTTCAGGGAATCAATGAATGTAACTAATCCCTAATTCACATAATATACATAAAACACCTGTTGAATAAGATTCTGAATATCTGATCAGGACGGTTTCAGAAACACCGGGAATCCATACACCACCGGAGCAGCCCCAATCAGGTGCGGAAGGCGACATGCTACCCTGGCCTTTGGGATCACCTCTAAGAGAGATCTGGGATCTGTGCTGGCTTCATCTGATAACCAGGAGGACAAGAGACAGGCCAGGAATCGGTCAATGTCTTTGTCTGTCACGTCCCAAAGATTAGCCACCATGCAAGGACTGAAACAGAAAATCTCATAATTATTCACTTCCCAAAAGCAATCATTTGACAAAATTGTGAGCACTGAAATTTACTTTACTACTCAGTATTACAGTTAATCATGAGTAAAATTCACACTGGATTGACATACATGTATTTGTGCCTGTAAACATTACATTTTTGAGATCATTTGAATTTCCTATCCCCCATTAATTCCTTATTTGGACTTTAGATTCTTACCATCCTGCCATGAAGTAGTTTAGCATGAACCCTGAGGCCTCCAGGTGACCAGTGGCTTTCAGTCTACCACTGCTGCATCCCATCAAAATGGTTGCTGCACGACAGTCCAGACTGGCAAGGTCACTCCCACCAAGGTAAACGCCACCAGTACCATGACCACAATACCTGTAAAACCAGAGGCCCATGGGCCACAACGCTCACGTGAGTCACTTTGAACCCTGCTGTTCTTCATCAGCAGATTTCTTTTATTAAATTTCCATCTTTAATTTCATAAAAATTTTGATTCCATATTGTGGAATAAAATCTAGCCCTTTGGGAGCTACAGGTATGATTTAATCAAAGTTGAATCAACATAACATTGAGATGCTTCAATTTCAATATGATCAACATGACCATGCTGTTCTAGAGATTATTTTTCTCTGTACCCATGGCATGCATTGTGGATCTCTAATTTTAACCCTACCCTAACCCCTTACAGTAGGTAAGCTTATTAATATGATTTAGTGTGGTCTCGCAATGCTTAAAATGATTTCTTTCTCTATACTCTCTTGTAAAACTCTGATCCCCTTTCGTAGCCTCAACCTATATTCCTGAGGGCCCTCATCTGTATAAACTTGAATCTAAACTACCTGAGGATACCTGCTTATTAATATAACTAATGAGGGCTTTGCTGTTCATTAGAGAAAGAAATTTTAAGACTAATCCTTTATGTTTCTTTAAGGATGGATTCTTCTCATATTTCTTATAATGGCAGAATCTTGATTTTCTGAATACTCAATATTCAGACTGTTTACACTACTTTAACATCCAAAAACTTTGGTGTCATCGGCCTTGATTTTCAGTCAAGGTCATTTGAAAGTCAGTCCTAAAAATAGTACTTTTACACAGAGAAGTTTTGAAATTTATGCATATGAATAAATTTTGCTGACTGAAAAAATATCTTTCACCATAAAATTAAAGTTGTTAATTATTTTTGATGACCAATTCATATGAAATGAGCTGGTGAAAAGATAACGTGAAATCCTTTATATTCAATAAATACATTTAATCCGAATTTCCTCGATATTTTTTCAAAATTCTCAGTTTTCATGAATTCACATGAAATTTCATCTCAATTTTTACAATTGACCATATAATGTCAAATATTTAGATTTTTGTCTGATGAATATTCAAAGGTTCAAGATTAATTTACAAGGTTAAAAAGATATAGTAATCAGGCAAATTATCGAAAAAAATTAGCCCGAATTTGCTCTATACTTTCTGAAATCTTCAATTTACAGAGTGTTTTTAATGTCTATAAGAAAGATTTTTAATCCCCAAAAATATATCAATTTGGTGTAATTGTGACATAAATACATTCATTTCTACCAGTTATACATTCTATTTTTATGGTATTTTACACTAATGATATTCAAAATATTCATTTCGAATTTCCTCTGTCATTTTATTCTTATGAATGTTATGTTTGACAATTTTATAAAATACATCAATTTTCTAGTGGCAATTACAGAAAAATTATCACATACATTCTTCACATGCACAGGACTAATTCAAAGCAACTTAACCTTCAATATAACCAGGAATAAATAATAAACCTTCCAAAAAGTTATGAGAAAAATTATACAAAAAATTTTCAGACTAGAAAAGATTTCAATACATTATTTATGACATAAACATGAAATCAATATACATGTATAGTGAACATGCCATTCAATGCTTAATATATGAATATCAGAGGGATTAATTAATATACATGCCTATACATGTATATGTAGTTATATACATATAGGTCCCTGGTATTATGTTATTATTGGATATTTTACATTTGTAAACTGACTTTTGAAAACAACAAGCAAATTCAAAGAATTGTGGTCCCCTGCTTTCAATGTCTTAGTGGATGGGATGCCATTATTTATGGCATATTGTAACTGTCTTGTTTGTTTGTCCTGTGTTATCTGTGCATCATACAAAGAGACATAAATTATTGAATTAATAACAGTTATGGCAAAGACTTGAGCTTCTCAAAACTACATCAAACTTCAAGATCAAGGTCATGAGGTCAAATATCATAATAAAATCCAAAGATCTTCTCACAAGTGATGCACATGTAAAAAAAAATATCAGAAACCAGAGTATACAATCAGAAAGGTCTTGAAACAGGTAATGCACATGTCAAATGTAAATACCATATCTTCTCTCAATCAAACGTTATTAGCAATGATAAACTTTTTAAAAATTAGGTCAAACTTCAAGGTCAAGGTCATGGGATTAAAAATCATAGTACATCTGGAAATGCTTGTCACAGGTAATGCACTTGTCAAATATGAATGCCCTATCTTTGCTCCTTCAAAAGTTAGCAAACTGATGAAATGTTTGAAAATTAGGTCAAACTGGAAGGTCAAGGTCATGGGGTCAAATATCATAGCATATTCAGAAACATTTTGACACAGGTAATGCACTTGTCAAATATGAACACCTTATCATATGTCATTCAAAAGAAATCACCAAACATAAAATTTTTTGAAATTTAGGTCAAACATGAAGGTCAAGGTAAAGGGGTCAAAAATTATAGCATGCTCGGAAACACTTTGTCACTACTAATGCACATGTCAAATATGAAAGCCCTAACTATTCTAAATCAAAAGTTATAAGCAAAGATAAAAATTTTGAAAAGTAGGTCAAACTTCAAGGTAATGGTCATGGGGTCAAAAATCATAGTACATTTGGAAAGGTATTCTTACAGGTAATGTTCATATTTAATATGAAAGCCCTATCTTTTCTCATTTAAATTTAATGACCAAATTAAAGAAATGTTAATTTTTTGAAAAGTAGGTCAAACTTCAAGGTCAACGTCACGGGGTCAAAAGTCATAGTATAATTTTGAAAGGTCTTGTCACAGGTAATGAACAGGCATAATATGAAAGTCCTATCTTTTCTCATTCAAAAGTTATGACCAATTTAAGGTAATGTTATAGTTTGTTCAGCACCAATAAATATAACTCCTCAATGTGATCATATATTGCATAAAATTTGCTGGAGTTTTAAGATAACAAAAAAGCCATCTATGACAATCAAATGCCCTTTGACATCTTTGCCTGAAAATGACATCCTTGAACTTTGTAACAATAATATACATGCAGCTATCAAACTTAATTTCAAATTTAGATTCAAAATACTTATTCAAGGATGAAATTTCTTTTTGAGAATTTGTAGCACAAACATTTATTGATCAGTGTCAATAACTTGTATTGAAATTGAATTAAAAATTACCTCTTGAGGGTTTCTACTGCAAGTACTTGTATATGTAGTTCATTTGTAAAAATCTAAATTTTAACCCGGCCACTACCAGCAATTTTGTTTGGCATGCTCTTGCTTAAAATCACCCTTTAACTAAACGCTCTAAAGCAGGAACATTTTTATGCATTCCAGAACTATATTTTAAGATTTTAACTGTATTTGAAAATGTAAAGCAACTGAATACATAGAGCTAGGTATATATCATTTACAAGTTGTTGTAATGCCAGTACATCTAAATCTTCACATTGTAATCTAATGAAAGATAATGCTTGAAAAATTCACTCTGGGAGTAAGATTTCAAATCTGAATCAAAGATTTTGTAAAATAATCACATTCTACAAAGCTTGCACTGTATCGGGTACTTGGGAATCAAAAAATTAAACATTATATAATTATAAATAAAACTATTTTTGACTGATAGGTTCTGAAAAAAATCAAGAATGGAATCATGCAACAAGCAGAGTGACTTTGATAACATGCATTGACTTCCACATTTCTACAAAAACATTTCTTTGATCAGATAAATATGTAATTCCTGCTTCTGACATGATATACATGTATTCTGAGAAAATCTCTTTTCCACAGACAGCCATCATTCATTTGATGTGAGAATTTCTTGCTGGACATGTGTCCACCTGGTGAAAGTCCAAATTTTTTGTTGACCTATAATTTAAAAAAAAAGTAAAATATTTTACATAGCAGCACGGACGCTGCATTACTTGATAGTTAGATAAAGTAGTGTCCATATTTCTTATACATGTACCTCAATAGTCCATCTGCCAGCACTCCATGCTCAATCATCCTGCATTCTGACCTCCAGTCTTTTTTCTAGTCTAGGGTAAAGTAGGGTTGTTTTTCTCCTAAGAGTTAGACATGAACATCCCTTAGACTATTTTTTTTAAAATTTATGGAAATTGATTATAAGATTAAACAACTTATCTCATCTGTATTTCATTTATTGATTTAAATGAATTAAGATATTTTAATGGATTCTACCACATGTATAATGTCTTATATTATAGTGTATTGGATATAAATAAATAGACATTTTTTATCCTAAAAGTACAGAAAAGTAAAAAAAAAACATTAATATAAATAGTTTTTAACAATAATGTTTCATTTTGCTCTATTTACTAGACAATTGTGTGTTTCAATATTGATATTTCCACATACAATATCAAGTTATTTTTCCGTTTGATTTGTACCGAAGCGGAACACCTTACTTTTCTAATAACTTGATGATTGTTGTGTCTTGAAGTATCCTAGTAGGCTAGTTAAACATATAAAATTTGTTGTAATCATATACAAAAAAAAGCTATTTTTGTGAATTATTATTCATAACCCTGACGAACACACGAAATATATCCTCTTCAAATGTTGACAAGTCGCGGGAATAAGCAGACGAAATATTGATAATTTCCGTGCGAATTCCCATAAATCAATACAAACCAGCATGTAATTGAATTCAATTTCAAAATTATAAAAATCTTAGACATATTTAACTAACTTACATGCTCACTGCACACGACATGACATCAGACGAGGTAACGTGGATCTGCAATCTTGCACAGCTGTTGCACATGTTTGTGACCTTCAAGTTCAAGTTTCCCTTTTGGTTGATCGGAATGCCCCGGGCATAAATAACTATGATTTAATTTGTCATAACTGTACCTGGGCTTCTGCAATGCTTCGATAATGTTCACAGTTTGTAGATTTTACAAAACAACCCTCTCGGGGTTTTCTACGGAAAATGATCTGGACATGTTGACATTCGCTACCGAACTGCGAATATTATGGCGATTGTCGCAAATCAAAGAAAATTATACGAAAAGTTTATTAATTTCATAAGAAATAGATTCAACATTACTTAAACTGACAAATTAACTAATAGTTTTTCCTTCAGTATAATTAAATATGAATTTTGCATTTTACGACTTGCATAATTTATGGAGACCCATTGACGACGTAAAATGCTGACAAGAATCCATCCTTAAGTAATTTCTCCTATTGTGGCCTCCATGACCCTCATGACCCCCAGGGGTCATGATTTGAACAAACCTGATTCTACACCACCTGCATTGTTGCAAACCATAGGTTTTGTGTCCCTTCTTTCTCCACAAACCTGTGGCTGCCTACTACAAAATTAGCTCCTATTTGTGAATAAATTTTATTCAGTGACACCAGATTTATCTTGACCAATGAACTCTAGCAATTTTGGGTACATTTACATGGCAGCACCCATAATGTTTGCTATGCGAGTAAAACATATTCTAAAATACTTACTAAGCTTAACAATATAAGATGGGTTTGAATGTAAATTTTGAGTGAATATGCTAAAAAGCATCACTTGTTTAGACAAGAAAATTTGAACCAAATTTTATATACATTGTACAGCTTGTGCTGATGGTTACATCTAAATATAGGATAGACCTATCATTTTCATTGGACAAAGGTTTCTGGGTAGTGACTAATAATTATTCAATTGGTTAATGTGTGTCATAAATATTAATGAGAACAATAGAATTTTGTTGTATGCAACCATGGGTTTGTGGATATAGAATGAACACAAAACCCATGGCTTGCAACGATGCACTACCTGTTGATGCTTCCACATAAGTATGACTAAACATAACTTTGCAGTTCTTGAGAAAAAATTTTTTGAAGATTCCTCTGTAAACTTTGATCACCAAATATGGCCCCACCCTATTCCCTGGGGTCATAATTCAAACAAATCTAGAATCTATACTACCTGTGGTTGCTTCAATATAAGTATGACTAATCATGGTTTCACTGTTCTTGAGAAGATTTTTTCCCATATATTCCTGTCTAATTTGGCCCCACCCTATTCCCTGGGGTCATAATTCAAACAAATCTAGAATCTATTAGGGATGTGCGATTTTATCGGTATACCCGTATATAGCGATTTTTTATTGCGTGATACATATCGTGATATGGAGACTAAAATATCGGTATTTGGTACATAATTATAAATTACGGAAATCATTCATTTATTTGTTGAAACAATTGAAAGACAACTAGAAAACTGACCAGTCAGCAAGGGCCCCGCCGAGGGGTAGAAATATAAGGGTATAGCTTACAGAATGAGAATTTTAATTGATTACAAAAATCTAAAAATATATGAAGAAGAATATGCAATAACAACTGTATTAATAAAATTTCAAGATAATTCCTAAATATCCAACAACCTGTAAAGAGTATCCCTGTATTTACATAAGGCAGTAAAAATGTCATATCTATAATAACTCAATTAAATGTATATTTAAACAAGAAAAAAGCATGTGTTTTATAAAATGCCAGCCTTCAGTGAATACAAATATAACCAAGGCTTGACCTTAACTTCAAAACAAACATCAGTTGCAGACAAAGGTTAATTTATCTTAAAGTGACAAATAAAGATAAGCCTGGAAAATTTTCTGCCCCAGACAAGATAATTAATCCCAAGGGATTAATTGTACTGCTCTCTCATCCTTTTCTTCCAAGTTTACAATAAGAACTCTTTCAGTAATGATAGAATGAGTTTATTATTGGACTACCCGTTAAAATTAATAGTATTCTTGAATTTACATACGGCAGCCAAAAAAAAAAAAAAAAAAAAAAGAATAAATAAATAAATAAAATAACATAAATAAAAACAAAAAAAATTTTTAAAAAAACATATTTTTATGTATATCTTGTTTTTAGAATTCAAAAAAATCATAACTCATTGTATATTTTACCAAAATAAAGTATGAACATTATTTAAATCCACATTTCAGAGAATGTAAACATCATTCAGAATTGACCTTAACTTCAAAACAAACTTCATTTACAGACAGAGGTGTTAATTAATCTCAATTTGACAGAAACAGATAATGCTTTGGATTTTCTTCAAGAGAAAAGTTAATTAATCCCATGGGACTAGTTGCAGCTTTCATAGTTTACAATAGGAACATTCTCAGCAGTTATCTCTCTTTGCCCAGGCATTCATTCTAATGTAAAGTTAAGGAATCTACCCCACCACCTCAGCTCCAAACTGGATGACACAGAGAACCAAACTTAGCATCAAAATATGTCTTACTGCCTCTTCAACCAACATACCAAATTTGAACTTAATTGGTCAACTACAAAAAAAGTTATTAGAAAAAAACAGAAAATTTGTGGATGGAAGAATGACAGACAGACAGACAGACAGATGGACAGACAGACAGAGTGATTACTATAGGGCACCTGCAAATCCTTGCGGGCCCCTAATTACAGGAAGTGTAAAAAAAATGTTGAAAACAGTTAAACAACGGCATCCAAACATGCTTTATACTAAATAAATAAAAATTTAAAAAGTAAACTTATGTTTTTATAGCATATTCTTAAGAAATATTATGGAAATTCATTTGAAATTGTAGTAAGAATTGTATGTAAAAATATCACGATTTATCGTGATATTTCTGGGAAAAAATCGTGATATATCACGATACGAAATTTTTACCGATACCCATCCCTAGAATCTATACTACCTGTGGTTGCTTCAATATAAATATGACTAATCATGGTTTCACTGTTCTTGAGAAGTTTTTTTCCCATATATTCCTGTGTAAACTTTGAATGCCTAATTTGGCCACACCCTACACCAGGAGGTCATGATTTGAACAAACTTGAATCTACAATACCTAAAGATGTTTCCATATAAATATGATTTACAATGGCTTTGCTGTTCTTGAGAAGAAGATTTTTAAAAGATTTTTCCTATGTATTCCTTTTTAAAACTTTGATTTCCTATTGTGGCCCCCAACATATCCCTGGCAGGTCATGATTTGAACAAACTTGAATCTACACTATGTAATGAAGCCTTCACTTACATGACATACATTTGTATGTTGCATCTTTTCAGGATCAGTGGTTCTTGAGAAGATTTGTAAATGATACCATTAGATTTTTAATAATTCCTATCTCCCCTTGAAAGAGACATGGTCCTTTATTAAGTAAATTTGAATTCCTTTCATCCAAGGATACTTTGTGCCAAGTTTGGTTGAAATTGGATCAGTAGTTCTGGAGAAGATAGAATTGTGAAAAGTTTATGACAATGATAACAACAATGATACATCAGACAAATTTTGATCAGAAAAGCTCACTTTAGCTTTTGGCTCAAGTAAGCTGAAAATCAGTCAAATTCTAACAGACTCATTTCTTCTTGTAAAGGTATCAATAACCTAAACAGTACTTAAAAATATTTTGTTTCTTTTGCAAGTCACTCATGCCACCAGATATACATTGTAATTTACAGGGTGATAATTTTGTTTCAGTGTTCCATCTTGCAAAGAGATGTTTTGCTAAAAATTAGAGGTGCCATTGGACCAGTACATTTACAAAGTCAAAATTTACTGGACCTGGACCAGCAGGTCAATATTTTACTAGCATAAGTAAAAAAACACCAGTATATTCAGTTGAGTTTTAACCCTGACTTGGCAAGAATTCTTGATCTTCAGGAAAAGTAAACTGCAAGTTTTTCTCTTGTTTATGGTACAAGAATTTTGGAGATTATGGTCAAGATTTATATTTTGAAAAGTTAGACAAATTGACCAAAAACAATGCTTTCCCCCTTCCATCTTTCACAGGCAAAGGCAATATGACTGAAATGACAACTCTTTTTCCTTGCTATTTTATCAGGTTGTTTCCAAAGGAGAATTATAATGCCATTATATAAAACTGTCAACTTACAGGAAGAGATTCTTGTTCTGGAGAGCCTGGGTGTACTCGGCCTCTGTTGGTTTTCTGTTTATTATCCCCTCCCAGCTCTTTTGTCTGAAAGTCAAAAATAATCAAAACATTACAGATACAGTATGTACATGTTTATTACTAACCCCATTGTCACATTAAAATAAAAGTATCATGAAGTATTTTTTCATTACTAGTGTTCTCCAAAGTAGAGTACCTTAGATTTTAGGCATTTATATGGGTATGTTTTAAAAAAAAAAATAGAAAGGCACAAAAAATTGTAAAAGGCATTACAGAAATTTGTTTCCAAATTACCAGTATATTTTTTTTCCTAACTTGACATTTGTAAGTGCTGTCATCCTCATTAAATGTTCCATTTTAAATGAAACACATGTAAGATTGGATGGAGGGAAATATCACAGATTGACCAAAGAATTGAAAATAATATAAAAACCAGAAGTCTCTGATGAGACTGTAGCTCTACTGGTTGTACTTATAAAGGAAGATAAAAGTAGCACTTGGACTTGAAACTTTGCAACAGTAATAAATAGAATAATGATCCTTGGTTAAGTCTCTTTTTGTGGTAAGATTTATTGCAATCAGACTAAAACTGTTGGAGAAGTAGCCTTTTAAAACAATTTTACAGAAATTTCGATTTAAGTAACCATGGCAACATCATTCAACAAAATCAAAAAACAATAACATCAACTACGTATCTTAGTGTAGTTTACTTGTGTGCTAAGTTATACTAAATTCAGACCAAAACTGTAGGTGGAGAAGCGTTTTGAAGGTATTTCAAGGAAATTTATATTTTTAGTAACCATGGCAACAATGTTCATCGAAATAAAAAATTGATAAAAAGAATTATGTACCTTAGTGGAGTCTACTTGTTTGCCAAGTTATACTGAAATCAGACCAAAACTGTAGGAGAAGTAGCTTTTTGAAGGTATTTCAAGGAAATTTATATTTTTAGTAACCATGGCAACAACGTTCATCGAAATCAAAAATCGATAAAAAGAATTATGCATCTTAGTGTAGTCTGCTTGTTTGCCAAGTTATACTGAAATCAGACCAAAACTGTAGGAGAAGTAGCTTTTTGAAGGTATTTCAAGGAAATTTATATTTTTAGTAACCATGGCAACAATGTTCATCAAAATAAAAAATTGATAAAAAGAATTATGTACCTTAGTGGAGTCTACTTGTTTGCCAAGTTATACTGAAATCAGACCAAAACTGTAGGAGAAGTAGCTTTTTGAAGGTATTTCAAGGAAATTTATATTTTTAGTAACCATGGCAACAATGTTCATCGAAATCAAAAATCGATAAAAAGAATTATGCATCTTAGTGTAGTCTGCTTGTTTGCCAAGTTATATTGAAATCAGACCAAAACTGTAGGAGAAGTAGCGTTTTGAAGGTATTTCAAGGAAATTTATATTTTTAGTAACCATGGCAACAACGTTCATCGAAATCAAAAATCGATAAAAAAAAAATTATGCATCTTAGTGTAGTCTGCTTGTTTGCCAAGTTATATTGAAATCAGACCAAAACTGTAGGAGAAGTAGCGTTTTGAAGGTATTTCAAGGAAATTTCTATTTTTAGTAACCATGGCAACACCGTTCATTGAAATTAAAAACTGATACACAGAAATATGTATCTTAGTATAGTCTACCTGTGTGTCAAGTTATATTGAAATCAGATCAAAACTGTAGGAGGAGTAACATTTTGAAAGTATTTCCCAGAAATCTCTATTTTTAGTAACCATGGCAACACCATTCATTTAAATCAAAACCGATACACAGAATTATGTATCTTAGTGTAGTCTACTTATGTGCCAAGTTATATTGAAGTTATATTGAAATCAAACAAAAACTGTAGGAGGAGTAGCGTTTTGAAAATGTTTACAGACGGACGGACAGACGGCTAGACAGACGGATGGACGACGGACACCTTACTATCGCATAAGCTCTTCTGGTCTCTGATCAGTAGAGCTAAAAATGAAAAAATATACTTCAGAAAATGAATTTATAAAACAAGATAGAAAGTCTGTGGTAATCTGTAATAAATAATTACAAACATTGTTTTCTGCATATCTTGAACCTTCTATGGGTGAATTATGAACAATACATGTATTTGATCAATGGGAAGGAATATATAATGTATATTTCAGAGGTGTATAAAATGACTCATACTTTGAGAACCAATCTTGGAAGGTTTCCTGAGTAGATGCTAAATTACTGTCTGGATTCAGGACATAGAATACACTCTGTTTATCAATTCCCGTGTGAAGAATGGAACTCTTTTGTGAATTGAGGTAGGTAAGCTGAGAGTGAAGATGATAGAGTGATGGCATCCTTGAAATACTAGTGCTGGCCAGTGATGGAACACTTTCCCAAGGAAGATGCTGAACTGACTACAAAAAGTAATTTTTTCTTAAGTAAATATTCATAAAAAAAACAAGAAGTGTTTTTCAAAGAGGGTCTACAAGTGTTTTTCAATTCACTCACATCACAATATTTAATCATCAGGCATTAACCTTTCAATGAAACTAAGAGGACTGTGATTCAAGAAACAACCAAAAATTAATATACGTATACGTATAAATCAGTGGAAATCTACCAAAGATTACATGTACAAAGATGTCATATTAAATCAATGTGGCATCACATATGCATTTTACTAATGAATGCAGTGCAAGGCTTTTTTATGATATATAACTGGTACCTTGTCAAGAATGAGAAAAACATGTCCTTGAGAGCTGTTGAGATTGAGATCTTTGGTGTATTTTCTGAATGAAGACAGGCAATTGTCAACCCCAGAACTGGACATTTTTTCTGACAGTTCATAGATTACACTTTTAAAATCTTCATCAGACAAAGTATCTTCACATTCCACTAAACGCTGTGTGAAAGAAACAAAATTTAAGTGAAAGAATAAGGGTGATGTTATGTATTTTTGGCTGTTCATTGTCATTCATATAGTCTTTGTCAGTTTTCACCATGTTTCATTTTATTTTTTCAGTAATACTCTTCAATTGATTTTTGCTTTGCTTTTGCTTAAACTACTGAAATCAATGATATAAAAATTATATGACAAATTGTTAACAAGAGGCCCATGGGCCACATCGCTCACCTGAGCAATTTGGCTGGAAAAAAGCAGAAATCAATTCAGGCTCTAATTTGCAACTAATTTAGTCGCAAAAAACTTTGATTGGCACCTAACATTTCTCTATAAGTTGCCAAATTGGCAACCATTTAATTTGACTTGGTGATCATCAAATTCTGGAATTACAATGTTTTTTTCTGGAGGTGAAAAGAAATTTGAAAATTAAAAGTAGAGAAAATCACTTTTAGAAATGGATGTGTTTTGTGTTTTCTTTGTCATCTTTTTTGTTTTTACAGTCTGGCATAGTGTTAATTAAGAAGAAGATTTTTATAAGATGCCAATATATTCACAAATTCTTGAAAGAGGGTGTAATTCTATACCTGCATTATATTCTGAGGTAGTCTGACTTTGATTTCCTTGTAGATCTCCTCACAAAGGTTTTTAGTTACATCAGCAATAGAAATTCCTGAGACAGCTGATGAGACAGTTCCATGTATTAAACATCGCCAGTGACCCAGCCAGTATTTGTCCATATGTTGAAGCACATACTAGTGTACAACATAAAAATAAAAACATTTAAATGTCTTTCAATGAAAATGAATTTCTTATTAATGTCTTTCCATCTTCACTACATGTTTTAAACTAAAACTAGTGTTAATACATTAATAAATACCAATTTACAGACATTTTTAAAACAAGCAAAAAAAAAATACATGGAAAACCTTTATCACTTTAGGAATTCTACTCTTCCAAAGCAAGTCAAATATCATGGACATTCACAATGGTATAAATCATTTAGTTACAATGTTAGAATGTGAAATAGGTAACACATACCCTAAGTCTGTCGTCCAGGTTCCATCGATTCTGCCACCATTCTGTCTTGTCCGTTATCTTAATACTGCTGTGACTCTGCTCCATAATGTCTGTAAACTCAGATAAAATTCTTCTTCCCTGTAAAATTGACACAATGACTTAAAATTCTTCTTCCCTGTAAAACTGACACATGATGTAAAGTTATTCTTCCCTTTAAAATTGACACAATGACTTAAAATTCTTCTGTAAAAGTGACACATTGATTTAAAATTCTTCTTTCTTGTTAAACTGACACATTGACTTAAAGTTCTTCTCTGTAAAATTAACACATTGACTTAAAATTCTTCTTCCTTTCTTAAATTGTTCTTCGCTGTGAAATTGACACAATGACTAAAGTTCTGAGACACTTGTGTGACCAGCTCTAGAAACCTTAGAATATAAAGGTAATGGAAGCTGTTGAAAGGTCACCTGAACCTGGCCTTGAGACCATAAACTGAGAACAGACTGAAGTCAAAATTTTGATTTTGAATATCTTGTGATTTATATTAATACATACTTAAAGATTTGCAGGTTTTTATATTCCAGTTTGAACATATGATGAAAATTTTGTTTTGTTATCAAAATTATTTCAAAAGTTGTATTGATTTGAAATTTTGACTTAAGTCTGTTCTCATTTTATGGTCTTGGGGCCTGGTTTTTATCTAAATTCTTTACCAGACAGACAGAAGGACAGACCATGGACAATGGGTGATCAGAATTCCTCATTTGAGTTTCAGCTTAAGTGGGCTAAAAATCTTATCACAAGAAGCCCATGGGCCACATCGCTCACCCAAGCACTTTCGCTAGGAAAAAGCAGAAATCAGTTCAGTATTGAAAAGTTTAAATATAAATGTGGTTTCGACATTTGATCTTCTGTTGAGGTCTTGCCATACCTCCAGGGACATGGTTGGAACTCATTTGAAACTACTCTATCTGGGATTCTTCCAAATTAATAAAACTGGCTTTGATGTTCTTGAGAAGAAATTTTTTATTAATATATCCCTTACATTCTTTTTTATAACTTTAATCCTCTATTGTGGCCCCACCCAACCCCCAGGGGTCATAATTTGAACAAACCTGAATCTACACTACATGAGGATACTTCTATATTAATATGAGTAATCATAGCTTTGCTGTTCTTGAGAAGAAAATTTTTCAAGATTTTTTTCCTATACAGTACTCCCCCATTATAATTCCCCCCTCCCCTGTTATAATGCCACCCCCGCCTACTGCCAAAAAAGTTCCAAGTCCCAATTTCCTCGCTATATAAAACCCTGTTTTATCGCCATCCTCCACCTATTGTATTTCAGGTACAAATCCGACAATTACAGTTATTATCACCCCCGATAATTACCACCAGTAAGTAGACTTTTTGGGTTGGTTTTTGACTATCAGATCGGCAGGTCCACGTTTTTGAAATGACAAAAAATAATGTCAGAATAAGTGTATGTTTAAAAAGATAACAAAAGGGATGCATGAATAGACAATTAAACTACATTTTATACACTGAATTGACATACAAGATTACAAGTTTAAGTTGTGTACTTCACAAGTAAGTATCAATTTCACAGGTGTTATGTGCAATGGAGTGTAGCTTATCTCTTTTGGTTTTCTGGGGTTTTACAAAGAATCCAAGTTTCTTAGGTTTGAAAAACTTAATACCAGGTTCACATAGATTTGAATACACAGATGCTAGACATAGACTTGAAGTTTGGATAAGTGATTCAATATTAAGTCTAAGGACATTGCATCAGAAAATAACAGACATTTTATAATGATTAAACACTAAAATTAAAAAAAAATCAACAATGAACAAATATTTTTAAAATTAAATGTTAGCAAAAATATTTAAGATTTAATAACAATGAAGGGCAATTTCTTCTGTTTTCAAGTACCTAATTGCAGTCCCCCATTTTAATACCAACCCCGTTAAAATGCCAAAATTGTTGAGGTACAAATGTTGGCGGTAAAACAGGGAACACTGTATATTCCTATGTAAAACTTTGATCCCCCATTGAGGCCCCATCATACACCCTGGGTCATGATTTGAACAAATTTGAATCTACTCTAAGTGAGGATGCTTCCATATAAATATGACTAAACATGGCTTTGCTGTTCATGAGAAGATTTTCAAAGATTTTTCCTATGTATTCCTAGGTAAAACTTTGATCCCCCATTGTGGCCCCACCCTTCCCCCAGGGGTCATGATTTGAAGAAATTTGAATCTACAATATGTAAAGAGGGTTTCACATAAGTTTAAAACTTTTTTGTCCCAGTGGTTCTTGAGAAGAAGGTTTTTAAAAGATGCAACCAAATTTTCACTATTTCTTAATTATCTCCCCTAGGAAAAGGGAATGGCCCTTCATTTGAACAAACTTGAATCATTTTCATTCAAAGATACTTTGTGCCAAGTTTGGTTGAAATTGGCCCAGTGGTTCTGGAGAAGAAGAAAAAAATGTGAAAAGTTTACAACAACAACGACAGACAACAGACAAATTTCGAACAGAAAAGCTCACTTCAACTCAAGTGAGCTAAAAAAGTAACGAGAAGCTGCAATTGATGAAACCATGGTTTCATCAAGAATACCCCACCAGGACAATGAGTTAGTGCATTCCAACCAAACAAGCTAATTGAGGGAATCTGTGTCCCCTGCTTTAGGAAAAAAGAAGGTGGTGGAAATGGAAAAATTTTGCAGATGGGGAAATTAAAAAAATCAACCTTGACTTTTCCTGACCTTGGGTCTTTGACCTTTTGACCTTAAAATCAATAGGAGTCTTTATTAAGTCATATTGACTAAAGGTATAATTTTTCAATGCAAAACCTCAAAGAAAACTAGAGTTATCACCAGGAAACCATTATATGCAAGATATGAATTTTCAACCTTGACCATTTACCTAAAAATTAAAAGTCTTCAAGTCACTGGGAGTTATGATATAAAATTTCATTGTAAAAGCTCAAGAAAAACTAAACATAGGTAATCAAAGATTACGAAGCTCACCTCGACGAATGTTATCTACATGTAAGGCAAATTTCACATCATATTTTTTTTCTAGTTAGGGTACATCCCAAGATCAATATCCATGCAAGTTTGATTTAATTATAGACCTGCTCAAAAAACTTTTGACCTGTTTAGTAATCAAGAAAATTTTGGTCAGTTCCAACATCCAAAGCAAGTCTGGAAGTTTTCATCCTTAGATGCACCATCTATGCAAGTTTAATCATAACAGGCCATAATATTATATAGCTACTCCAAAAAATTACCCTGGTCACTCATCTGGAAAATGTACGTCAGATTCAGAATCCAAGGCAAGTCTGGAAGTATCCATCCCTAGATACATCATCCATGCTGATTTGGTTAAAATATGGCTAAAATTCATTCATGTGGAAAATCTAGGTCAGATCCAGCATTCGAAGCAGGTTGGTTAGTGTACATCCCTAGATGCATCATCCATGAAAGTTTGGTCCAGGTAGGGCTTATAGTTACTTGGGAACAAGACTACTCCTAAATCTAAACCTGGTCTCACATGTGGAAAATCTAGGTCAGATCCAGCATCCGAAGCAAGTGTGGTAGTGTCCATCCCTGGATGCATCATCCATGCAAGTTTGGTCCGGGTAGGGCTTATATTTACTTTGGAATGGACCTGCTCCTAAAACTTTAACCTGGTCACTCATCTGGAAAATCTAGGTCAGATCCAGCATCCGAAGCAAGTGTGGTAGTGTCCATCCCTAGATGCATCATCCATGCAAGTTTGGTCAAGGTAGGGCTTATAGTTACTTGGGAATGGACCTGCTCCTAAAACTTTAACCTGGTCACTCATCTGGAAAATCTACATCAGATCCAGCATCCGAAGCAAGTGTGGTAGTGTCCATCCCTAGATGCATCCTCCATGCAAGTTTGGTCAAGGTAGGACTTATAGTTACTTGGGAATGGACCTGCTCCTAAAACTTTAACCTGGTCACTCATCTGGAAAATCTAGGTCAGATCCAGCATCCCAAAACAAGTGTGGTAGTGTCCATCCCTAGATGCATCATCCATGCAAGTTTGGTCAAGGTAGGGCTTATAGTTACTTGGGAATGGACCTGCTCCTAAAACTTTAACCTGGTCACTCATCTGGAAAATCTACATCAGATCCAGCATCCGAAGCAAGTGTGGTAGTGTCCATCCCTAGATGCATCATCCATGCAAGTTTGGTCAAGGTAGGGCTTATAGTTACTTGGGAATGGACCTGCTCCTAAAACTTTAACCTGGTCACTCATCTGGAAAATCTACATCAGATCCAGCATCCGAAGCAAGTGTGGTAGTGTCCATCCCTAGATGCATCATCCATGCAAGTTTGGTCAAGGTAGGGCTTATAGTTACTTGGGAATGGACCTGCTCCTAAAACTTTAACCTGGTCACTCATCTGGAAAATCTACATCAGATCCAGCATCCGAAGCAAGTGTGGTAGTGTCCATCCCTAGATGCATCATCCATGCAAGTTTGGTCCAGGTAGGGCTTATAGTTACTTGGGAATGGACCTGTTCCTAAAACTTTAACCTGGTCACTCATCTGGAAAATCTAGGTCAGATCCAGCATCCGAAGCAAGTGTGGTAGTGTCCATCCCTAGATGCATCATCCATGCAAGTTTGGTCCAAGTAGGGCTTATAGTTACTTGGGAATGGGACTTGCTCCTAAAACTTTAACCTGGGACACCGACGCTAACGCTGACGCCGGGGGTATAGCATAAGCTCATCTCGACTTCGTTGAGGTGAGCTAAAAATGGTCATCTTGAAAACCATTTTTTGCATTGTATGAATATCTGACTTTGGCCTTTGGATCTCAAAATCAATAGGGGTCTTTTTTCAGTCATTAGGGTTATGGTATAAGATCTCAATGAAAAAACTCAAAGAAAAGTGAAGTTATCTAGAAACCATTTTTTGTAAAATATGAATTTCTGGTCTTGACCTTTGACCTATTAACCTCAAATTCAATACACTGTAGTGGTCTTTTAGGCCATAGGGAGTTGATGTTAAATTTCATTGAAAAAAAATTCAAAGAAAACAAAGTTATCTAAAAACCATTTTTTGCCATGTATGAATTTCTGAACTTGACCTTAGAGCATTTGAACCCAGAATCAATATGTTCTTCTTTAGGCCTTAGGGAGTTGTGATGCAAGATTTCACTGCAAAACCTTCAAGGCTTTTTGAGATATTGCCTAGAATCTCAAAGGCTTTCTAAAAAATAGTCTGGAGATGAAAGTGTTACACACAGACAGAATGTATGAATTTCTGACCATGACCTTTTGACCTCAAAATCAATAGGCATATGCATCTTTGATAGGCCATAAAAAGTTGTCATATACAATTTCATTGTAAAAGCTTAAAGGCTTTAGAGATATCTTCCAGAAACAAAATTGTTACACAGACAAAATGTATGAGTTTCTGACCTTGACCTTTGGTCTTTAAATCAATAGAGGTCTTTGTTAGGCCATAGTGAGTTGTTATGTAAAATTTCATTGCAAAAGCTTAAACACTTTTTAAGATACATTCCAAAAAGTGTTACACACAGAGCCAAATCAATATCCCCCACTTTCACTGAAAGAGGGAGACAAAAATGAATGTAGATTTGCCAGAAGGGGCTCAATCTACTATAAACACCAGTAAGCTTACATGCACAGTTTTAAATGCTGGCAGTTTCACAATCACTGGATCTTGGTCTTTTCTCATGCTGTTCAATAACATCTGGTCAGGAACTTGTGGGTTTGTAACCATGGAAACCTGACAAACTGTCCAATCTAAATGAAATACATGGATAAGTTATTACCCGGTATGAACAAAAACTTACTTTGTTAACATTTTCTAGTATATTTAACTAAACAAATATGTAAGTACATGTATGTTTTTCATATAAAAATTAAGATCACATTCACCCCTTTATCCAGAAGATATTGCTAAATTGATAAATTTTTCACATAACCTATTTTGTATTCTGATCGCTTGTATTCTGACATCTTGTGACGTAAAATTAACAGATACATATGTATGCATTTGTAAAATGGAATATTGAATTAGAATTCAAAATACTTAAAATAATAATATTATTGAACTCTTGCTTTTATGACATCACAGAAGGATGGAAATACTTTTACAAATATTGGGAGATTTCCTTTCTTTATAAACAATTTAAAAATACAGTAATTCATCATGAACTCATGCAAAGGGCAATTACCCCTTAAAATTGGGTAATAACATGATAAAAAAAAAAAGGATCTCCCATGTTGTGTGATTTGATTTGATTTTTATCCAAGTTGTGCATTTTCTATCCCCTCACAATAGGCTAGGGGTTAGAGAAACACACAACTCACCAGTTCACAGTTTCTTTCCAGTTTTGTATAAGCTTTGACAATTTAACATTCTAATACTAGTTCTAAATAACATTTACCTTCTGGTAGATCTCCTAAAATCTTCTGAAGATCCTGAGCAGATTTATTAAACATCAGGTTTTTATAAATGGCATTTTTTATTTCTCCCTCCTGCACCCCACTCATTTCATTTGGATCAGAGTCAGAAGTTGTCTCCTTTTTACACTTTCTAGAAAATAGTTCAAGAAAGTTCTTCTAAGGTATTACATATAAGAGATAGATAAAATTTTATCTAATATGAGTGAGCTCACAAAATGATAACCCCCCAAACAATCAACAGTTTTTCTATCAGTGACCTTGAACTTGCCCAAATGACGTTGGATAAATGTCATGACATACCCATAGGTCAAAAGCAATCTTTGTGTCAAATACGAGCTTCCAATATTTCTTATATAAAGTTATGGCAAGGAAACAATTGGATAGAGAGTCAATGGACTAGTTGATTCCTATATACCCTCAAAATTTTGTTTGTTGGGGGGTTTGTTATAACTAAAGCTCTAAAAAGCAATCACACCAACTCATTCAACTGGAAACTAGTCTCTTACAATTTTAATTTTTTTTTTAATATTTCATGAAAGAAAATGAATTTGCATGAGTGACTCTGTTTAATAAATGACCATTTACATGACTATTTTTACTACCTGATTTTCCTACTGCAGTTAACTAGAGATTGATGTCTGAAGGTGACCACCATTCCCTCGGTTAGATAATAGGCCGCCTTCAGAGGACAGGTGTCTATATACTGGAGAGCCAGAAGGTTACAGATAGAGGTGTAAAGTCCAGTTGTGGGCAGGTGACGAGCTTGTTCAAATGCCACCTCCAGCATCCCTGTCAAATCCTCATCCCTTGGAGAATCAGCTGAAAATTTTTAAAAATGCCATTCACTTTCTAGGGTTTAAATTGTAGATTTAAGCACAATAATTACTTTCACTTCAATAAAAAATTGCAGGCATACAGGGTAATAAAGGCTCAAAACCAGTTTGTTAATAAAATGTTTTAGCAGTCCATGTCGAATGTGAAAAATTAATGACATGCCTTTCCTAGCATCCTTTGCAACTTTTCCTGGTGGAGCTGCCCTTCTCATTCTCTCCATGGTGAGCTGCATGTTCACTCTAGTGGTGGATCTAGGAATCTCTGTGTTGTCTTCACCTAATGATTGTTCCATCCTCTCCGTGGTATCTTGTTTGGAGGATTTTGTGACCCTTTTGCCCTGGCCTCTTCCCATCTTTTTTTCATCCCCACCTCGTGGAATCTCAATGGAATCATCTAAGACTTGTGCTATAGAAAAACCCACAATTATCATTATTAAGAAGAAGAAGAAAACAATTAACAAAAAAATTGTTTTAAATAAGTACTATTCGCAATATACACAGTAATGTACCTTTTTCCAATTTTAACAGCATTTCTTCTAAACATTTATCATCTATAAGTTCAGGTTTGGAGATTTGTACATCTTGAGTCCAGGACTGGTCCTCATCTGATGGACTAGTCCCCTCATCTATGTCACAGTATCCTAAATGTCCAATCAGATCAACTGTCTCATCATTTATCTCAGCTACTGCACTTCGTACTTTTTCTGCAGGCTGCCTCTTAACTCTAGCATTAGTTCTCCTTGTAGTTTTCCTCACTGTCTTACTTTTCCCTGAATCAATTGGGTCACCTTCAACAAAATCATAAATATCATCCTTTGCCTGGCTGATTTCTCCACTATTAGATGAATCACTTTGGACTTGTGTTTTGGTAGCTTTTCTTCTACCCCTAGCTGATGTTTTAGCTGGTTCTACATCATTGGTTTTAGTTAATTCCCCATTTGCTGCAGTTTTCCCTCTTCTTGAAATGCTTTTCTTCTTAGGAAAATTTTCTTTGTCTTCCTGCACAACACAGTCCTGTTCTTTAGATTTTTTGTCTCTAGATGTGGAAGTTTCCAATGTGACATCAACCTGTGTTGATGATTTCTTGCCCTTGGATGCAGAAGAATCCCTCTGTGTTTTAGACACTCTAGATCTGTTGATGTATTTTGGTATTCTGGACTTAAGGTTGCTTTTACCAGTAGCTGGAGTAGAATTTGCTGATGAACAACTTCCTGGGTTACTTGGGGTCACAAAAGAATCACTGCTCTTACTGATAGGTAACTGAGAGCCAATTTCCTCCTCAGAATCAGAACTAAACACTAAGGCTTTCTTACTGCACACACTATATGGGGTTTTTAGTACAAATTCTGGAGTTGAAGAGACAGAGGTAACTGTAAGGTCTTCTGTCAAGCTTCCATTGGTGTTACCCTGCTTTCTGTCCCTTTTTGTAGTACTCTGGTTGAGTGATGTAGTAGTACTTTGTTTGAGTGATTTAGTAGTACTCTGGTTGAGTGATTTAGTAGTACTTTGGTTGACTGATTTAGTAGTACATTGGTTGACTGATTTAGTTGTACTTTGGTTGACTGATTTAGCACTGATCTTTTTTCTTCTGGTTCCTGCTGCAGACCTCTTTGTGATTTCTGCTTCACTCTTCACGACCTTTTCTGTTTCTATTGAAGCTTCACAAACATCATCTTTTGCTTGCTTCCTCTGAGTTGCCCCTCGCCGTTTACTTGTTTTTGTCCCTGCCTTTGATTGGTTCGTTTGTTCGCCTCTTACATCCTTAATCTCCAGCTTCTCAATATCCTCCACCAGCTCCTGGTGATCTTCCTTTGTAACAACTGACTGATTGCCCTCCACTGGTTTATTGGAAATCTTCAGTGGCGATATTTCCTCTGGAGTAATTGAGATCTCCATTGGGGCAACATCCTCAAGAATATCAATATCTCCCTCAATGGAATCCTTTTTACTTGTCAAACTCCTCATTAAATACATTTGTGCCTTAAAAACAGTGAATTTGTTTTGAATTAAATTAGCTACAAAGTCATTCACACACTGGTTTTGGAAGAGATCTTGAGCACTTTGTATAACACTCTCACACTTGTCCGTTTTTCCTACCAGAAGACTGGTTTCAGCTATCAAAGACAAGCACTCTACATAGATATCTTTTAGTTCAGAATCATCTTGAAAAACACACATCGGTAGCTCCTTTAGACCCTGTTTTACATTCCTGGGTTTTTGATTGATAAATGTCTCACACACATTGTTAATCTTATCCAAAATATCAAACTTAAGATTCTGCTGTACATAAACATTGAACTTGGCTGTGATAAGGGAGTAAGACAGAATGGCCAACTTAACAGTGTCATCTTCACAAAGGTCACAGGTCACATTGTCTATCAAATGCTGCCAGCATGGTGGGAATGAACAAAGAAATGTATCTTGGTCTTCCTCTTTCTTCACTTCATCAAAACCAAAACTCTCTATTCTCTTGACTCTTGTACATTTTGACCTTGAATCCTTTAAAGATGCATCAGCTGGTTCCTGGCAGGCATTAAACACTTGCCTTGTTTTTGTGAGACTTGAGGTGGCAGCTTCAAAATTTTCAGCAAGGACGTGGATCATTGAAAATTCAATCATGAACATTGAAGCCCTGTAGAATACATGTAAATGGATTGTAACCACATGTACATGTAATGCAGTGTTCAACATTTTTTATAAAATTTTGCAATAAACAATTTTTAGCAGTGTTTAACATTTTAATTTTGCAATAGACAATTTTTACATACCATTTTGGTAGCCCCATGAAGTGAGCGGTGGTCCATCCCTCTTTGATGTGAAACTTTGCAGATCTGGTATCCCCCACCAGTCGCTCCAGCTGACCGAGGTGATACAGAGATAGCAGGTACTCCTGTATCACATCAAACTTCTCTGTTGTGTTCATTCCTATAATACAACCTTAACACGTGACACATGGCTTTAGCATGCCATGATGTAATTATGCTTTAATGGCCAAATTTCAAGTCTCCATTTTGAGAAATTTAAAAGAAATGGACAAGGTTAGAATTTAGATACATATAGAAAATCAGACAGACAGACAAACCAATTGTGAAAGATTCAAATATGTGTATGTAAGATCTCCATAATTTACTCTTTAGCTTGCCATATTCTTAAACTAGTAGTTCAATACATTTATCAGTGACTTGATAATTTGTGACCCCTTACCCTTGGTATCAACTGTCCACTTTTCTTTGCCCAGAAGAAAGTAGATGACACTGACGTGGTACCTGTACGCCTCGATTGCATGGTCCAGACTATACTCCTCTGACAACTCCTCTAAGGACTGGTCAGTTGGTAGGGATGAAAATAACGACCAGTACCGTTTGACTATCCCATTAGCCAGGCACACATTTTTACTGAGACTGGGCTGTTCTTTTATTTTTTCATTGAGACTGTGAAGAAGTTCCAGACCTTTTTGGATCTATAAAGTCAATAAAACATATGGATCTATAAAGTCAATAAAACATATGGATCTATAAAGTCAATAAAACATATGGATCTATAAAGTCAATAAAACATATGGATCTATAAAGTCAATAAAACATTATCATTCAGGCTGATGTACCGGTCAGCTAATATTAACTTAATCTTCTAAAAGGATTTACAGGTACATGTATATGTGCATGCTTATTCTTGCCTTATTTCATTAAAACTCTGAAAGATAATTTGTTTTCACCAGTTAGAAATCATCTTTATTATCCAGTTTGTAATACACGTACAATATATAGAATTTAAACCTAACGTTTATAAAAGTACATGTAGAAGAGGGAGGGAAACAAAAGAATGTACTTTTGATATTTGCAGACTATTTTCAGTGTATATCATGTATATTAAAACAATTTTCATTTAAAAGTTAAAAGCTTGCCTGTTTTGTATGAAGATAGTGCATAACACTAGCCATGACTGTCTGTAGGTAACTGTCATCAAACGAGTTCTGTTGGTCAGGAATGGAAGGAAGGATTTGACTGGCGTGATGATGCATCCCATGCAGTCCATAAATGTGAGATAAACGACACTTAATTACATTACATGTTGTTTCATCCCCGAGTTTGTCACATACTTGTAAAGCAAGGAACAATACATGCTGCTCTTTTTCAGACTGTGGGGAAAAAAATTAATAAAAAATTATTTTGTAAGAAAAAATCATCTCAGCTTGCTAGCTTTAGTGACTGTAATATTTTTTACCTTAATCAAGTAATATTTTGACTAAAAGCATATTATGAAATTTTAACTTATTATTAACTGTAAATTTATAAGCTTTAATAGCACAGAGATGATCTAAACAAACCTGCTCTGAATCTGCATAACTTTGTAATTAATTTACAGTCTTAAAATGTATTCAAAAGGGATGGGGTAATTGAAAAAAGTAATTGTAATTGACTGTAATTAGTTACATTTTTTGAAGTAATTGGAAGTAATTTGTAATTGAACATTTTTTCAATTACTTGTAATTGTAATTTAATTAATTACACTGAAAAAATACCATGTAATTTCAATTACTTTTTCAATTACATTCAATTACTTTATATAATACATATTCATGATATATCGTCACCACTACCTCCCCATTTTACTGGTTTTTATTTTCTTGTTAAACATATCCTGAATCCTTCAATTATACAAAATCTTAGGTTAATGCTTACAAAAAAATAATTAAATGATTGGCTTGATAATAATAAACTAGTTTCTTTCTAATCATTATGTAAATTTTGAATTTTTTGATCAATGTTTATAAATATGAATTTTGAACCACCTATCTTAGGTCTATTCAGCTATGAAACACACATTTATTATATTTCAATCTTTGTTGTTTGATCAATAATAAAGAAAAAGAAGATGTGTGTCATTAATTAAGTTCTCTCTTGTTGGGAAGAGATAATTACCCTCCAGATCACAGCTTTAAATTGCAATAAAAACAAATCAACTCCTCTAAAGAGATATTCATTCCATGATTTAGAAGACAAAGCCAATGAAGATAATTATTTCAATTTAAAATACTCCGCTAGCTTTAGAAAAAAAAAAAAACTTTCAATTTGATAATTATTTTAACATCTAAACAGATTTTTATGAATGAATTTTCTATCTGTACAATTCTGATTTATGAAGTAAAATTGCTCAACATAAATAGCAATTTAGGATGTTCAGGTTACCTTCAAAGGAAATATTTAATTTGAGGGGTTACAGTTGCGACTCATTTCACTCTATTAAAATACTCACTTTTAATCAAATATCATAAGCCATGCAATTTGTGTACATGTAGGTTTTGTGTGGTGGAAACTGCATCAAACTGATCTCGGATAGTTCTTTAAGGAGATTCTTACTGTTTTGTTAATAAATGTTATAAATTAAACCAGAACGATACACAATGCCTATAGCATATTATTTCTTGTACTGTTTGTGCAGAGGCTGAGCTTATATACAAATAAATGATGTTCTGTATATTCATTGACAAGGATTATAAAAATTTTCAAAAAATTAAAAATGTAATTTGTAATTTAATTAATTACTTTTGCAAAGTAATTGTAATTTAATTAATTACATGTCTTAGAAAGCCTGTAATTTAATTGTAATTTAATTGAAGAAAAAGTAAAAGTAATTGTAATTTAATTAATTACTTTTTAAAGTAATTGACCCCATCCCTGGTATTCAACTACCTTTCTAGTGAGGCGTAGAATGGATGAGCACAACATGAGTGATCTAATACTGTTGACTGTGTGTACGCTCGGTGGGACTTTCTCCCATAATTCCATAGCATTGTCCAGGTGTCTGATGATTTCCATCTCCATGGAGAATGTACACATCATATCAAATTCAAATGCACTCCAGTTCTGTGGTTCATCCCCATTATCTACTATACTCTCTTCCATCTTGGTCATCTTCTGGGAACTTGTTATCAGCTATGGAGAAAAATATGCATAAAACTGATTTATCAGAATGATGCTTTTTGAATAAAACATTGAATATACATGTGAAATCTGGAAATCTATGGGCAAAAAGAGAAGTTTCTCCAATCTCACTCCAATACGTGTACATGTAGTTTAGATGTAAAAAAGGATTCAATTAGATGCATTTTGCTGTTATTTTGGTGGTAAGTAACTGACCTGTTTACAGATGTTTTCATGTTTGACAACAAAGGTCCATAGCTGTACATCAGCTAATATCAACATCTCATCTGGTGTGTTTATGCTCTCTAACAGCTGCTCTGCATCACTTAAGTACTCCTGTACTGGTCTATTGAAAACATATACATTGTATATGAAATTGTCATTTTATTGTATAAATTTTTAATGTTAAATTTGTTAGAATTGCTTTTTGTTTGCTTGTTTTATGTCCCTTGCAATTTTTTTCAGTCATATGAGACACTGGTTAGTTTAAAAAATTTTCATTCATGTAAAATTAACTAAATATAACTGAGGAGTTACCTGTCTTGCAGAGACCCTTTTTCAGTGAAACACAAGCAATACAGTATTTCTGTTAACACAGAGATGTGAGTAAAATATGCATAAAAATATAATGATACCCCTGAAAAAGAATTCCTGCATCAAATCAACACAGGTAAAACAAGAAGTCTGTGAGCCACTGTTCACTAATAATACCCCCGCCCTGATGTGAATACACAAGTTCAGTTATGGACACACACAGTGATAATCAGGAAATTGACATCAGATTCATACAAAAATGAATCCAACATATAGCATGCCTAAACAAAGAGTGTGTTAAAATTTCAAGCATATGCGATGGGTAGTTGCTGAAAAACTGCCACCAAAAATTTGTTATGTATGGTATGGACAGATGCATAGATAAATGGGAAGTTGACATCAGATTCGTACAAAAATGAATCACACTATATGGCATGCCTAAACAAAGGGTGTGCTAAAATTTCAAGCATCTTCTATTAGTTGCTGAGAAAACTGCGATCAAAATTTGTTATGTATGGTACGGACAGACGCATGGATAAACAGGAAGTTGACATCGGATTCATACAAAAATGAATCCCACCATATGGCATGCCTAAACAAAGGGTGTGCTATAATTTCAAGCATTTGCGATGAGCAGTTGCTGAGAAAACTGCGACCAAAATTTGTTATGTATGGTACGGACAGACGCACGGATCAACAGGAAGTTGACATTGGATAAGTACAAAAATGAATCCCACCATATGGCATGCCTATACAAAGACTGTGCTAAAATTTCAAGCATCTGCAATAAGTAGTTGCTGAGAAAACTGCAACCAAAATTTGTTACGGACAGACAGACAGACACACAGACGGACAGACAGACAGACAGACACACAAGGGTAAAACAGTATACCCCCCTCTCCTTCGGAGCGGGGGTATAAATATCAAAAATGAGCTTTGAAATTTTTTTAATGACCTCTCTTTAACAAAATGGGAAGGCCACATAATATAGTGTTATGTAGATATATTTACATGTACTTCAATTTGGCATTATCAAAAATGCTGCAGATGTAATTGAAAAGGTCAGCAAGGTCCATGTCATGGACTTAAAAGTTTGCAAAAGGTTCAAACAATTTGCAGAAGTCAGCTCTGGATACACAGGTGTCAGATGACAAATGCAAGATAGTGGATTTGGTAAAATGTGTAAATAAAACAACATTTATTTTTTTCTACTTTTGTTTTTTAAACATCAAATTAAGATGAAAAACCAGAATTCATTTTGACCCTCTATTTGACTCCTAAGATTTATTTCAAAGGGTCAAAATGACCCTTGGTTTTTAAAGTTAGCATAAACGGCAGTAACATCAGATAATAAATCTAAAGAAATATCTGTGTTGACTTGAACTTTGAGCAGAGTTTTCAAAAACTGCTGGTCCTGTCAGCAAGGCCAGTGAAAAATTTTCTGGACCGATAACTTAAAACCATTGGCCCAAATGACCATTTGAAAAAATTGGACGGGATGCAAATTTTAAAAGATAGAAACAGGATGTGTAGGATATCCTTAAAGACTCCGACCATAAGAAAAGAAAAGAAAATTGTGAGAGGGAATACTGCAAAAACAATAAAAGGCAGTGTTTTTTTTTTCCTTTCTGTACAAAATATGGTACATGTAACATGTCTGACATGTTCCGTTCAACAGAACCTTTAACTTTGTCAGACCAATCCTCTGACAGCAATTTAAAACTTGACAATTTTGTTTTGAGAAACAAAAGTCAAATCACAAAAATCTCTACCAAAGCACAATCTATTGAGATGACAGGAAACATGTTAAGTAAATGGAATTTACCCTGTCTTGAAGTTGATCTTTGAGATAGAATCTTTCATCGACGCTAAAAGATTTCCCTACCTTTCCTGTTTCTCTGTAAAGCGTTCCCAGACCAGTTTGGCAATCTCTAGCAGAGCCTCAGCTTTTTGAACAGCATGTTTGGCAGCTTGTTGTATTCTCCTCAAGAGAGATAACTCTGCCCCAGGGTACTTTTTACTACACAGAACAAAAGAATACTGGAGAAACCTTGATATACATGTATACCAGTACTTCTTTTTAATGACTGATTTTAAAAGAAATAAATGAAAACAAGGCATTTACAATGTTAATGTTGCAAAATGTCTTTAAGGTTCTCTTTACCTTGCTAATGACAAACATTTCAGCTCCATTTTTAAAATATTGTAAGCATCCACAGTTTCTGAAAATTCCTTCATATTGTCCACAAAGTACCTGTCAAATAAGATGAAATGACCCACAAACAAAAATAACTTTTGCTGAACAATTACTGATGTGTTGATATTTTTCCTTTTAAATATAACTAATATGGCAGCATCTTGATAACCCAGACTATTTTTTTAACACTTGAGACACTTGACTTCATAAATGGGGAATTCATATTACAAACTTATCTTCCTGCACATTTACAAAGAGGTTCCCAAACAATATTATGAGGGAGGTGAAGTGACCAGATTAAAGGTGTTGGACTTTATGATGTACCCCTATAGTGCCTTACATGTCAATGATCTGCACATTTTCCACTCTTAGTTGCTGTCTTTTGATTCGACACCAAAACTCTACTGCTGTCGCCAAATGCGAAGGTTGCAATTCTACACTTTTTGTTAATTTCTGCAATACAGCATCAATGTCACCGAGTTTCCAGTGTAGGTCTGCCAACATCTCATAGATCCCCAACAGATTTACCTAACAAAGGAAATTTAAAGTAATACAGGTCATACACGTATATGTAGGTCTGAAATGCTCAAGTACAATGCACAGTTTAAGATTTCTTTTTACTAATGGACTAGAAAGACACATGTTAATTTGCATTTAACCTGCATTATAGTTAGTTTTTTTGTTCTAAATGTACATGTATATGAAGTTCCTATAGATTTCATTTGGTTTGGTCAATATATCAAAATGCAGAATACTGATTAATTGTCATATGCCATTCAGCACTGTATATTTTAGGGACGGCAAAGGTATACAAAATTGCCAATCGGTTAACTGCGACCCGTTCTGACTGATTAACCGGTTAATTGTATCAAAATATATTTTTTCCTAACATATTTTTTGTTTAATCACAACACTATATTCATGTATATATTTCATTTCAGTTCCAAAAGGCAAGAAAAAATGAAGAAAACTATAAAGTGTGCTTAAGATATCAGAGACATTTAACTTTTAAGATCTGATGTCACAAGTTCATTTTGCATTGTTACCATAATAGTTACCTCCAAGTCAGCTATAAAAGAGAAGCGAAATCCCTAACTTGTAAACGTTCAGGTTTTTTTAAATCAAATTTTAAGGATATTGTGTTCTTCAACTATTTTTGACTAACCAATTATAGATTTTCTAACCAATTCCCATCTTTCCAACCGAGGTAACATACAACTGGCTACAGATTCCAATCTCTAGTATATTCATATAAAGTATAAATGAATATACATTTAATTAATTTGATAAAAACTGCATACTTCTTTGATGCGTTGTTCCTTGAGGTTCTCATCAGACTCTGCCCATTTGGTCAGCTGGTCACACTCTACACTGTAATAAAACAGGTCAAGTTCCTGGTGACCTAAACTGCAAGACACCTTGGCAAACTTGGACATTAAATAACCTGGAAAAATATGTAATACATCTGTACCTGATATTATATCTGAATGGTGTGCTGCTCATGCACAAACTTAATTTGGTTTGAAATAGTTATACATGATTTAATAAGTGCATTTTACTTAATTAAATTAACTTTTTTTTCACATCTGAAGTGATAAATTTTGCAATTTTCACCCCCCCCCCCCTTCCAAAAAAAAAAAAAAAAAAAAAAAAAAGCAATTTTCTGTTACCAACTTACCACATTGTCTCCTCTCTCTTAGTATGAAGTCAGCTGATGGAGGGGCATGTCTGGTTTGCTCTATCTGCTGGGTGTAGGCCTCGGTTAAGGGCTGTAGGGACTGCAGGACACAGGACACCCTACCAGAGTCTGTAATCCATTAAGATTGTGACTCAGTACATACATGTATAAAGTGCATATTTTGAACAATTTATAAATAAATGTTGATGATCACATTTTAATAGATTAAGAAAAAATGTTAAAATTTTCAAGAAAGATTGTTTTTTTTTCACAATTCTCCGACTCATAATAATCATACATACATTCAAGACTTTTAGGTAATTTAGTCATAAAAGTCAGGGACCACTTTGTGTAATTGTTCCTTGAGATTTCTAAATGACCCCATTCTATTTATAAATTTCTCCCCTTGGAAGAGGAATGTGCTTCTATTTGAGTCAATCTGAACTTTTCAATAAGGATACCCTGCATGGTGGCCGATGTCAGAAAATTTTAAAAATAAGCTCATTTAAATTTTTGCATACTTTTGAGCTTGGTGGCCACTTCACAGCAGCTTATTGCATAACAAATGTGTACCCATGTTTTGCACCACAAGTAACATTTTATAAACACCTCAGATGAACCCCACAAACTGTATTTATATGTACTCTTTGTGCTAGCGGCTTTTTGGTGCTATATCAAACATAACTACTAATAAATACTCTGTGCTACCTTTTTGATGATTGATCAGTGTAACACCAAGCTCGAGCACAGTTCTAATGATGATGATGAGCTTGGTGCTGATCATTCCTGCCAGCTTGTCATTCTTCTCCTTTGTGTCTTCTTCATACTGCAGCTTGTCTTCCTCCCGGCTTGTGATTAAGAACTGGGTGACCTTTTGTGTGTACTCCAATATTGCTTCCGTGAAACACTGGTCCTCTGAACTGACCATTGTCTGTTGTTTTAGGATTACTAATAGACATTCACATATTAACAAATACCATCCTGTATTAAGACTACTTATACTATCTTGTAGTAAATCTATAATCTTCCCTGAGAGACTCTGGATATCCTTTCGACTTGTTTTTGAATTTTTGTGGTTTATACTACATAACAATGTCAGGTGTAATGTTTCATACAAATTTTTCACTGCTTTACAAAAAGTTGCATTTGTAAATGTGGACAGAAATTTCTGCATGTTTTGGTGCACTGTCCCCAGGATGGAATGAAGTTGCTGAGTCACTATGACCTGATGTAAGTACTGGAACAAAGACAGAGAACTGCAGACTTCACTCTCGGTCACAACACACTTATCAGATCCCATGGTTTCAATATACTGTGCTATATCCAGAACAAACTTCACTGCTATGTGCTGCTCTGAAATGGCTGTTTTCATGTTTTTCTGCACTGATGATTTATCATACCTGAAATGATCCAACATACCAGGTGCATTGTAAAATGCTGAAAAATCATGTAGCGATAATCAGTGCAACTTATTTTCTTGTTCATAAAATGAAATTGATATTATGGATGTACTGCTTAGACTATTTTTATTGTAATTATTACATTGTTAAAAATCTTCAAAATCTGTATGATTGTTAACAAACCCTCTTTAACTAAAATCAAATTATTCTGATATTGGTAGGAATGATAACATATCTATTGTATTTGTACATGCTTTCATCACTTTATATTATAATTATTACAGTGACGATCAAAATAGCTGATAAGTACCATCACTGAGATATAGTATTCATCAAAGTAAATGTGATTTATCAAGTTTTTGTGCAGCATTTAAGAGATGTGTTAGTTTAGTTTACCTGTCTACAGCTAGAAGGAATTTGTCCACAGTTGGTGCCAAAGCTGTCCGTCTGAGTAGCAACATTTTGATAGCCATGTATCTCAGCTGCAACACAACATCAGGCTGCTGTGTTGCTTTGTCCTGCTCAAGTTTAATGGCAACATTCCACAATTTGCTGTAAATGTTTGTGATAATTGAGGCCGTGGCACCTGTTGAGTGGTCTGGTAAGGGGAGTAACTCATCATAAAGATACTGACAAGTCTTGTAGATTTCATTGGAACAGTCCTAAAGCACATAAAGCAAGAAACTAGTCAAATCTTGAATCATCTGTCACCAAGCAAAACACAGGCTAGACAAATTTGCTATGGGACTGTAGTTTATGTCATTGCAATATACAGTTAGGTTTAATGGCTTTTTACTGGTTGTACTTTGTAGGATCTTGTAAATTATGAAATACTTGTAAAATTAAATAGATAATTTAAATATTCATATTTATCATGATCAAATGTGAATTATTGTACGAGTGAAAAAAATATTGCAAAGTTACTTTGATTTCTGTTAATTTAGCAACGATATGATAGAGGACTTTTGGCAGTGTCAAAGGATCTGGCAACTTTAAGACATCACGGTTTTTGGTGTAGAAGTTATAACATATGTGGACAGCATTCAGTAGCATAGACCTGTGTAGACCACAGGTGGAAATGTGGGTCACAGATGCTTGTAAAACCTGCACTGTTACAAGTGTGTAGCGGGAAAGCTGGTCCTTAGTGCAGTCACTAGTCTTCTGAATTGGAGAGAGATATTCCTAAAATAAACAAACAACAATATGTTGGAGAAACCATAGTAAGCATTTGATTGATTAAATGCAGTTGAACCTCGGTATCTTGAACACGGATATCTTGAATACCATGGATATGTCGAAGTAATTTTGAGGTCCCAACTATTTATTCCTTAAGTATTTTAACCTGAATTATATCTCAAATCCTCGGTTATCTCAAAGTATTTTCTAAGTCCCTTCAAGTTCAAGATAGCGAGGTTTGACTGTAGTTATATCATGCTTTTCATATAATGAACCACATTTGACTACAAAATATTAAAGTTGGTAATCTTTGCAGTAATTCGAAGAAAACAAGAAGTCTGTGAGCCAATGCTCACTATGTGAGCCAATGCTCACTAATAATACCCCCCCTCTGATGTGAATACACAAGATCGGTTATGGACAAACACAGTGATAATCAGGAAATTGAAATCGGATTTGTAAAAACTGAATCCCAACATGTGGCATGCCTAAACAAAGATTGTGCTAAAATTTCAAGCCTCTGAGATGAGTAGTTGCTGAGAAAACTATGACCAAAATTTGTTAAGTATGGTACGGACAAACGCACGGATAAACAGGAAGTTGACATCGAATTTATTCCAAAAATGAATCCCATTATAAGGCATGCCTAAACAGAGACTGTGCTAAAATTTCAAGCATCTGCAATGAGTAGTTGCTGAAAAAACTACGACCAAAATTTGTTATGTATGGTACAGACAGACGCATGGATAAACAGGAAGTTGACATCGGATTTGTACAAAAATTAATCCCACCATATGGCATCCCTAAACAAAGATTGTGCAATAAATTTCAGGCCTCTGAGATGAGTAGTTGCTGAGAAAACTACGACCAAAGTTTGTTATGTGTGGTACGGACAGACGCACGGATAAACAGGAAGTTGACATCGGATAAGTACAAAAATGAATCCCACCATATGGCATGCCTAAACAAAGATTGTGCTAAAATTTCAAGCATCTTCGATAAGTAGTTGCTAAGAAAACTGCGACCAAAATTTGTTACGGACAGACAGACACACAGACAGACAGACACACAAGGGTAAAACAGTATACCCCCCTCTCCTTCGGAGCGGGGGTATAATTAGTAGTAAAAATGGACAAAAGAGTTTCATCAGATATATAAATAACAGATTCACAAATGTTCAAAATCTTGCAATTTCTCACATGTCCTTTTGTTTAATTCTTCAAATCTTGCACCATTAAAACACTTAAATCTTTAAAATGATCATGATAACACAGTATAATATTTCTATAAATTTTAAACAATTATTCTGAATATTTTATTTTGGTAAGATTCTTTTTTTTTTTATACAATAACGACATAGTCCGATACCAACAGGTGATCTCTTCTTTTACTCATCACCTGGCAAACTCGCCAAAATGTCGTATGTAATTAATATGTGCTAATCATTTGAATGGTTGCTGCACAGAGTTACAATGGCAAATCAACAAATCAAAGCTTACATTAAGTATGTATGTTTGGCAATGACAAAAATTTTTTCCGTAGTTAATGCAAACAAATCCACTCACTGGTGCATTTCACAGTTTGAGAAAGGTATTCCAATATTATTCCTGACTGTTTTTTTTTTTTTATACAGTGTTACCAGTGACTTGTACGACTTGTCTTTAATCGTTATAAAACAAAATTTGCACATTTTAAAGGGCATCACTATATTAGCATAAATAGCAAACTTAGAAGGGCATTTCAAAATTGAAGCTTTTTGTTTGGTTGCCTATAATCAAAGAATTTGCATATTCAAATACGATATTTCAGGAAGTTTGCCTACATATGATGAGTAAACATGGTAAAAGACGAGATAATTTGTGGGTATCAATGAATTATGATGCAATACCAAGGAGAAATCTGAAATAGCAAGCAACAGGGGACTGTGGTTGGCCATATCTCCAAGATTTCACCAATATTTTATCATTGACCTCTTTAATTTGCCTAGTTTGGTCTCGATAACCAATACACACCTGAAATTTTTTTTAAATTTTACCATTCATAACCATATAATATAATTAATTTATTTATGATACAAATACACAACCAATGACAAGTGCAACATGAAAAGAGAAAAATGTGACAGACTACACTGGGTTCTATCTCAGGTGGCTCAGTGGGTAGAGCACCTGACTGAAGATTCAAGGGGACAGGTTCAAATCTAGGTTTAGTTTGTTGCTTTTTTCTCCTCTCCTGTTACACTTGGTGCTGTGTCATGCCCTGGAGGTGGTGGATGAAAGATCTGCCAGGGAAGAGCTTGGGTTGGTTGTTCAGTGGGAAACGACCTTTAAGGAGGGAAGGATGTGGCGGTCAGATGGGTTTGATCACCTGTGGTCAGACAGCCATGGGGTAGAGCACCTGACTGTAGATTCAGGCCGCACGGGTTCAAATCCTGGTCTGATCCATCGCATTTTACCCCTCTCCTATTCCACAAATAATTTATAGGACCTTCACTTATTCTAGGAAATAATGTAAATGGTAGTCTTGCCAGTCTCTGCTATTTGTGTCTCTGGTTTCATAATCATGATCATAATGTGTGCACTCTCACTCCACTCCTTATTAATTTTTAAAAGTCACTCAAATGCCTTGATGTATCTTTTAACATTCATAAAGATTAAGGAATATCAGCTTTAGAAAAATTCAAGACCCCAAAGGGAATAACAATGAATATACAATGTTTCTAGAAATATTTTGATTCTCTGATCAGAGTTTTAGAAATAATAAAATATTCAATGGTCAATTGGACCAGTGATTTAGTGAAATTTCTTGGTCCACAAAAATATTAATTGGTCCATCAGCATATATATTGAGATACTAAAAAAATAAAATCAAAAACCTGAGAAATTCCAGTTAGACCTTAAAAAAATTATGTTTGTTTCCTGCAACATTCCCAAAAAATCAAGGGTCGTCAGGTCGGGATTTTTTTTTTTTTTTGCTAATGAATAATAGGGTCAAACATCCCCTTCTGATAATGAATTATAGGGTCATACATTCTCGGACTGAATTAACCAGGTGTGATATTTACAGTGGACACCCGACAAGCTGTCTTGCGCAGAAAACAAACTTGTAAATGTTGTGGGGGATATGCTTCATGTAACAATAATGATTACTCTTTATATTTAAGGTACATGTAAATGATCATTAGGTTGATTATGTTATATCTGAAATAAAGCTATGGTTAAAATTTTGTATAAATTGAATCAGCTGATTGAACAAACAGATTTGGCAGAAAAAAATCACCTAAGGTCTGATTTTCTTTTACCAGATTTATCAGGCCATGGCGCCGCAACTTTGTGAAAAACTAACTGTCCTAAAAGCACTTGGGTTATTTTATCATACACGCAGATTCAATTGTTTTGACAATATTAATCTCACAAATAAACTTAACATCCACAGGTCAAGAGGTTAAAGTTCCGGAAAGCCTTTAAGGTCAAGATTTTTTTTTACCGGTCGCTCGGACTGATTACATGAAGAAAATTACTGGACTTTTGAAATATTTACTGGTTTTGCCAGTGGGACTGGTGACTTTCAAAAACTCTGTCTAATGGGTGGTATGTTGTGGATAAAGTTCTGACTTTACTTCAAACTTACTAAGATGTGTATATAGATTTTAAAATTTTTTTTAAAATAATGGACAGTTATGATTTCTCCAACATTGAAAATGCCCGATCCAAGGAGTATTGACAAAATCTAATCAGATTCATGGTCAATCATGGACAAAAAAGCTGCAAAATGCATGCCTTGTTCCGTTTTTGCACATTGTTGTAACCCCTTTTCGAATCGTTAAAATAAGAAGTTACCTGTCCAGGAATATTTTAAGATTAATCTAGATTTTATTTTACCTTTATAGGAATAAATAATGTTTACATTGCTGAGACCATGTTTTAAAAGAGCTGAAAAGGATGTTTTTACACACGTTTTACCGTACCAATATAAAGCGATCGATGTTTTCGAGTTTCCCAGCACTGAGATCTTCTAGAATAAGTTTTTCTGTCATTGTGTACGTATAATTATGTACATTTTGGTAATATCATTTAATATTCTTCACTAAACCCGCTATTGACATTTTTAAATATGGCGGCTTTCCGGAAAAACTAATACTCTAACGTGAACGTAACAGATTCCGGACAGAGTCCTCAAGAAAGTGACCGTTGCGGTAGTAGGGTTACCATTAAGTAACTCTATTCAAATTGTCAGTTTTATATTTCTGTAAGTGGTGCATGTCCGTAAGAAATGGTTGGGTGGGTGACACCCCCACCCCGAAATTTTCAAAAGTACACTGTAGAAAATAAAAGTATAACTGAGTACTCTCTACATGCTTTATGGATATGCCTCCTCAGTAGCGCCTAATGATCTTTTTTTTTCTTTGGAAATAGTGTAAAATGTTTTATTAGTTGGTTTAAGATCCCTCTATGGAAGTGTATTAGTGCCACGAAATTTTTTTTAATGTTGGCTTTAAAAAAATTCTAACCGGCTTTAAAGTTTGAAATTCCAACTTAATCATGGCTTTTCCGACTTTAAAGTTGGCTTTTCCAAGTTTAATCTTGGCTTTTCCAACTTTAATCTTGGCTTTTCCAACTTTAAAGTTGGCTTTTCCAACTTTAATCTTGCCTTTTCTTTCTTAGTATGGCTTTATGAGTTATTTAAGGAATAACTGTCTAATTTTTTGGATGCATAAAATTATCACGCAAGCCAATCGATTGATCATCGTCATGAATCCAAAAAATCTGACAGTTATTCCTTATATTTACATGCTCCTGATTCTGCAAATTTCCGTGCTAATAGCCCTGCTTCTGTCTCTATTTGTCACGCCCCGCACGTGATTTTTTTTAACCGCGCCTATCGATGAACCAGTAGATTTATGTAGAAATAAAGTATTTTTACAATTTGAAATTTTATCTCGGACAAAGACATGAGAAATGTAAATATATTCAGATACATGTATTTTGTAGCTCAGTGGCGGATCTAGAGGGGGTGGGGTGGGTTACGGGAGTTGCACCCCCCTTTTCGATTTGCTAAAAGAGAGAGAGGGAGAGAAAGTGAGAGAGGGCAGTCATGAATGTTGTTTTATTTTTGCAAAAAATGGTGTTGCTTTGGTCTATTTTTACCACATATTTTTTTCGTGAAGTGATGCTTTACCGGTTTTAAGTCAATATCATTTATAAACGTGATATTTTGAATGATCAATTCACGTGTGGATTATTTACGTGAAACAAGATGGAGATTGACATCTGATTATAATTATAATACATGTACATGTATTTTAAAATATGTAAGTGTCTCACTCTCCAAGTTTATCGAGTTTGAATATCCAAAATACCTGCAGTTGCCGTGGAACTAAAAACAGTTAATTTATTTCTAAAAAATTGAAATTTTGCACAACTATAGAAGAGTATATACTGTTTTCAAATCCAATCTAACACAGCTGGGGTCGAGGGGACATACTTATGTTTTGGCTTGCAAAAGCAGTGATTCTTGTATTGTTTGTTTTTATTTTTGACTTTTTTTCTCCCTTTGAAGAACTTCTCAATTTAAATAATCACAAAATAGGATGTGGTAGCGAGGTAGACATTTACTTACAATAACATAGATTTTAAAATTTTCTCACACACTCTTTCTTAAACAGGTCGATCTAGATAAAATACTGGGCCTTTAAAGGGCAAATTTTTAAATCACTAAAGCTAGGTGGCCTGATTTACATTTTAAATTTTAAATTTAGTATTTCACTTTTATCTTAATTTTACATATGTCTAATCAGTTTTTTTTATTATTACAAGTGTTGTTATTAATTGATAGTATCAGGCCCGTAGAACGCGGGGGGGGGGGGGAGGCACTTTTTCTGAGTATAGTATTTTGCTATATAGTAAATTTTCCTTTAGATGCTGGTTGCCCCCACCCCACCCCACCCCCACTTTTTGCCTCTGTTAGGTCGAGAACTGGCATAATCTAGCAAGTGTGCCCCCACCCCACTTTTGAAACCGTTGCTACGGGCCTGAGTATTCCTATTAAGTTGTCGTTTAACCATGTAAACGTACGGTATAACAACTCTTGTTTCCTCTTCAACCCCCCCCCCCCCACCCCCATTGAAAAATTTCTAGATCCGTAGCTGGACTCGTGTTGCTGTTCTATACCTGTAATTACAATGGAAAGAAACGATTTAATTATGAAAGTATGGTGAAAGAAGGAATTATTTCATTATGTTTTCACATACAGAATTGATACATTTAGTTCAGTTGTATTTGTAGCATATAATACAGTGTTCATTTATCCCCTATATTAAACACCAAATAGTTGTTTGAGCTTATTCTCTCAAAATACGAGGGTTGTTCGAAAAGTTCGTGGACTTCTGTCATATCTTTATTATTTAACGTCGTATCATACCCAGATTTGGTAGAAATATTTTAACAATAAATTCACATGATTTGTATTAAAAATTTTAAAATATCTTGATTTATTTTAAACTTATTAGAAGTTAAAAACTGCGAAAATTGGTTGGCGGAGCAAGTCAAAATTTAGTAATTCACAAACAAAACACTAATTAATGACTGTAGTCATATCCTCTGTAAAAAGGGCTCAAAACCAAAATAAATCTAGACGATCAAATTAAAAATTGTCACATCGTTTCATATTCCAAATGATGACTTAATAGATTGCTTCATGGAAAAGAAATCAGTTTCTGAAGATAGGTAGTCCTCATTGAAAAGCAAAAAAGTGACGTCGTAGAACATCACGGAGCAGCAGTTTACGATACAATTTTCTGTTGTACTCTGGAAAACATCAGAATAAAATCTGAAATTGTTGTAGGAAGCATGAAATATCTCAAAAGCGGGTCATGCATATGTGTAAATGGCCCAGGCGGTATTTGAATGATAGAGACTCTGCTGTATCAGAGTAGGACGGTCTGTGAGAAAAACGGATTATCTGTAAAGAATGAACCCAAAAACGTTCAGTAAGTACGGTCTTGGAAAGAGAAAGGCGTTTCACGGTTGCTGGTCTTGTGAAAGCATAGTTAAGTGATAAAAAAGAAAACACTGACAATCAAAATTATGCAACTGGAAAAATTGTTAACAAAATAAATTTCAATTGATAGGGACACGTTTTAAATGAGGAGATATTCGACCAGACTGTGTGAAATGTATACGAGAATATTTTGAGAACCTCATGACGCTATATTTTTGACGTTCTATTGTTGTTTAGTTTGCTCAAGGTTAACAAATATGTTGATTTTAAAATAAAGTAAATTGATTTCTATTAAATTGAATGGAATGAAACTTCACACATCAACAAAATAAATATTTTTACATATGATATTGTGCTTACATTTTCTTTAAAGTAGTATAACGAGGATTAAAATCGTCCACGAACTTTTCGAACAACCCACGTAAATATCTGATCTCTTAAATAGGTTTGGTTGAAATACTGTCACGTACGATGTTGTATGAAATTATTCTCTGTATAATTATATAAGATTGGCTCAAAAAATTCTAAGGGTTTTCACAGTTTGAAGTTATAAGTAAGGTCATAGGGAAGGTCAAGTTAAAAAATAATGGACACAAATTAATTGCTCACCAATCTATTTCAGTGTATTAATTTTGCATTAATAAAGTAAGTAATAATTTAAAATAAAGGGATAAATGCTAAAGAAAAGGGCTAGAAATGCTCAAATTCAAAGTTGGAAAAGCCAAGATGAAAGTTGGAATTACCAACTTTAAAGTTGGAAAAGCCAACTTTTAAGTTAGAATTACCAACTTTAAAGTTGGAAAAACCAACTTTTAAGTTGGAATTTCCAACTTTAAAGTTGGAAAAGCCAAGATTAAAGTTGGAATTACCAACTTTAAAGTTGGAATTTCCAACTTAAAAAATATTACGTGGCTCTAATATGCTTCCGTAGTACTCTATAACTGCACACAAAAGTTCTGATTTTGTGGTATTTTTATGCAGATAGAGTGATCTGTCCTTTAATCAAGAATAAAATAAATTGGAATATAGGCCCACAGTTATTACTGAATTTGTGATCAAATCAAGCATTCATAACACTTTGATAGGCCAAGAGGAATAAATAGAACACTCCTTATCCACTTAGGAACAACAGTGATTTATGTTCATCAGCACTTCATTAATTTTTCCTGGTGGGTAAATGTAAGGTACTAAGGTACCCGAATGTTGAAAATGTGATAGATAAGCTCAATATTTATATTCTTACACACTATGATTTTCTTAATGTCCAAAAAACATTTTTTTTTTCTAGTGTATAGAGGGTCCTTAAGGATATCCGATCCTCAGCTAGGAAGGATAACTCTTAAATTTATTATTTTATATAAAAAGTCTCAAAATGAAGCTTGAAATCGAGATCTTTTCGTGCAACAATTTTTATTTTATGCATCTTGATATGATTCAAGGTTCTTTGAAGTCTTAGAAACGGTCTTGTAAAAAGTTGACATTCGTACCCCATAAAACAAAAAAAAATGAATTCATTTTCAGAGAAATCGAATTTCCTGTAGTCTAGCATTCTAAAGATACCACAGCTTATTATAGCATGATATGAAATTAGATGTGATATATGATGCCTAGCAATGATAGCACAAGCTTTTTACACTTTGTATCATATGACAATTTAAGTAAAAAAGAAGAACTAAAATACTGTATGAGCATAAAAAAGATGCAATTTTCTCTAAATGTCTGGATACCTATATCTTTTTATCCTAAATTATATTTGTTGATCCATTTTCAATTAGAAAATGCATAGCTGGTGTTTTTATTTCCTGAAAATATATTTGAGATTTGATAAGTTTCCCTATATAATATTATTAACTGTAATGATGAACTTTGAAGAAATTCCATGGGTAAATTCACGTTACTATGCATTTTTGTGAACATTTTCAATTACTTAAAAGCTGATTTTCAGAACCCTAGGATCGGAGTACCTTAAACCATAATTTATGATATTTACAAGCATACGGTATATATTTTTTGTTCTGCCCCTTCCTCAACTGAGCATGCTGTGTTTAAAACGGCACATATGCAAATCGACAGACGATAGGAGAACATTTTGCATTGACTAAGAAGAAAGCATGAACGGATTGCTGTGCAATTTGTTGTGAGAATTGTTCTACCAGTCTTATCAGTGGCGGAAACCCCAACCCCGCTCAATGATTTTTTTTCACAAGTGTCATTTTAACAACACATTGCATAATGATACTCTATTAACAAAGTGTGACCATCACAGTAGCTCAGTCGGTAGAGCGCTCGCTCCGTGATCGGAAGGCCATGTGTTCGAATCACGGCCGCGACTGACCTAAGCCGATAAAAATAGGCAGTAACTGTTTCTTCGCCAAGCGCTTTGAAGTGACAGTTGCAGGTCCTTCGGATGAGACCTTAAAAACCGAGGCCCCGTGTCACGGTAGGCGTTGACACGATTAAGAACCCTCACTGCTCAATGGCCCAAAGTGCGAGTAAAGGTCTAAATTTGACTCTTCACCGTTATATGGTGACGTCTCAAAATGAGTGAAAAATCCTCGAATGGGACTTAAAACAACATATACAATCAATCAATCAAATTGTGAAATATACAGCAACTACATCAGTAACAGGAAATCATTTTCGCTTGAACGCATACAATACATAATCAACAGCATAAAAGGCAGTAGGGAGATCAGGTAGACTGCAGCTAGTGATGACACAAGGTCTTAGACCAACAAAAACTACACATAGTGGTATTGCTTCACAGTAATATTCTGGCAAGCATTTTTTCCCTGATAAATGAACGGTTTACTGGTTGTTTGCCTTGTGACCTATACCAAAAGGGTGAAGTCTATAATTAAAAAAAAATGCTAAGAGAGCATTAACTTTTAGTACCAGAGAGTGTGAATTTTTATAAAAGGCTAGTTTTAGGTTATATTTTGGATTTTTCAGTTGTAATAACTTGGTGAATATGTCATAGAAAAATATTTTATTTAAAAACCTTGGGGTACGGAACATGGGGGGGGGGGGGTCTCCCGTCCCCAAGCACCTGTGTTTTATTCAATAATTAAAAAAATTATTAATAATGCCACGGACGTCCGTATACATCTTTTATATGTGCACAATACAGCAGTGATAGATACTATAATATGCAGTTATTCAATAGAACATGGAATACATAAATGCAAAGTGAGAAAAATTGAAAATTTTATAGATTAATGTCATTCCTATATATGTATTATAGATTAGGTATTTAATAATTTTAAAATAGTAATGTCATGTGCAAATTTTGCATTTACCTCCACTCAGTAAATTCAAAATTTACAACATACTTAAAGGTGCTTGGACACAGATTTGAAGTTAATATTTTCTCAAATTTTCGGTATAATATCATGACTTATATGTTTTTATAGCATTTCACATGGAAATAAAATTTAAAAAAAAAATTATTTTATCTGGAAATAATTGAAACTACAAATTTCGGGACGCGTTTGATTGACACATCTATGCACTTTCACAAAGTAAACTTTATCCTTAATACTTAAGAAAAGTAGAAATTTTGTTGTGCATATATGAAAAATATTAAACTATAATCCGGAAAATAGAAAGTAGAAATGTGAGAAAGAAACCAACTCACCAGTATTGTCAGTCTGTGCTCAGTGATGTGTGCAGAGTTTAACAAATTGAACACACCCGTGAAACGTAAACTATTTTTGTAAACGGGGCACGAGCTCTGTTATTGTTAATGTTTAGTTTAAACCATATTTTATTTGAAAATGACAAGCAGAAAATACAGGCAAGTAGTACAAAAAAAAAATCAAAAATGATTCGGAAACAAGTTTGAAAACTTATACTAATCCGTTTCCTTATTATTATGATTAAGATGACAGACCCTTTAATATTAGATAGCTACATAACACGGTTTTAAGCTGCTTAAAAACTAATATTTGAAATTGACATACATGATAAATTAGTTAATGTTTACATTTCAGCGGGTCTGTTCAATTTGTTAAACTCTGCACACATCACTGAGCACGGACTGACAATACTGGTGAGTTGGTTTTGCTTTCTTACATTTCTACTCCGAATTTTCTGGATTAAAGTTTGAATATTTTTCATTAATACACAACACAAATTTTTACTTTTGTTAAGTATTAAAGAAAAAAGTTTGCTTTATGAAAGTGCTAGGATGTATCAATCAAACGCGTCCCGAAATTTGTAGTTTCAATAATTTCCAGATAAAATAATTTTTGTTTATTTTATTTCCGTTTGAAATGCTATAGCAACATATAAGTCATGATATTATACCGAAACTAGAGAAAATAGTAACTTCAAAGCTGTGTCCAAGCACCTTTAGTAAACGATTTCAAATGTTTTGTTCATTACATGTAGAAAATTATGGTCTTTACGTTACTGGGTTTCCATTTTTTTTTTTACTAAGGTGAACTCTGACCTCTTGTATTTTAGAGGGAGAGAGAGAGAGTGGTGAGCCGAATGTGAAACAATGTCTTCTATTAATTTCCCGTACAAGGTGAGGGTTTTATAGATTATTTGTGCTTGCATGATATAGATACATCAACTTACATCAACTTATTTCATTTGCACTCTTGAGTCTATCTATTAGTCCCGCCTTTAAGTTTTTTCTGATAAAAGCGCGCTTTTTTGTTTAAAAATGCTTTAGACTTCCATTTGAAATGGATTTCATCACAGGCGCTTGTTTCATACAAGCTAGTTTACTACAATGCGATATCGTATAGTAGTAAACTAGTATACTGTATGAAATAAACAACTGTGGTTCGAAAACCTTCCAAAAAAAAAAGAGGATCAAAGTTCAATATATTATATAACATTTCCGCCATTATCAGTGTGTCTGTTACAAAAGCGTGTATTACGAATGTGTGTTTCTGCCATAACGACCCAGTTTATTTTCTCTTTAATCGTTCATACTAGGTAGTAAATAGTTTTGTACCCCTTTTCTTAAAATCGATAATGCAATATACTAAAAATCTTTACCCAGGTTAAATGTTCAGTGGCCCTTTTCACAAAACATCTTACGACTAAGATAAAAATGTGACAACTCTGTAATTTTTTGTTTAAGAAATATATTGATTTTTTCCTTAAATATTTTTACAATATAATCTCATGTAATAAAATTATAAGACTTTTATATGTCCTACTACAGCTTAGATACTTTATGCAGAAGGGGAAAAATTGTCTTAGTTGTAAGATTTTTTGTGAAAAGGGCCACTGGTGAGCATGTGGTCCACAAGCTCTTATTAGTGTTTAATATATCGCATAATAAATTCATTACCAGTTTGAATTTAAAAGGAAGTTTCTGTTTAAAAAAAAAATTGAATTTTTTGCTTTTATTTCGACCTTCCTCAATGAAATTGAAAATTCGGAAAACTTATTGTCGTATTGCACATCTACCGTTCATCACAAATCATATTCTTAAAGATGAAATGGCTACTGCGTAAAATGTAAGAAAAGTTCTGGGAACCAGGTTTTCCTAGAAAAACATCATTTGACGACACAAAATGAAATGTACCCATAGAGTGAAAATGAAAAGTTTTGTTTTTGCGATCTTATGCTTCAATTTAGTAAGTGTTTTGTTACTTTTGGAATCAAGTTTATATGATCTTATAATCGTTTAAACAATAAAAGAAATTTACAAATTATACAATATTATGCGAGAATCTTACAGAGGTAGGATGTGTAATACGTATATGCCACTTTTTTCCTGCTTCATGATAACATAGTTTGGATACATATCTAGGATTGTTTATTGTTTACACGCATCACCAAAAAATTATATCTTCTTTATTTTCAATTTTTTAATCAGTCGAACAAGTTCTGTATCTATGACTAGATAATTTCAAATGATATTGGGATATATTTCAGCTTCTTATCAAAAGAATTAATACGATAGGCTAGCTACAATATGTTAAGGTGTGCAGTTTTACAATCTTACAATGACCAGAGATAAAATACCTCGTATATTCACTACTAGAGGAGATGGCATGCTACTGTAAAGCCTTTCCCCCATCACTTCCTGGTGAACAACTTATACAACAAAAACCACGAGAAACATTAGATTTCTCCCAACTTCAAAATTACTGTTTCAAGGGAAACTAACTGTAGAGAACATACAACATTGGATCCATGCAAGTATCGGGGGGGGGGGGGGGGGCACTTTTCCCGTGCATAATGTTTGACCGTTAATTTAGTATGAAAATGGTCATTGAAAGGCCGGCCCCCCTTACTTTTTGTTGCTGTGTGTCCAAACCTCTTATAGTGTACACCCCCAGCCCCAAACACACACACACACGAAATAGAATTTTGATTTTGGAAAATTCTCCCTTTTTTTGGCTTGTCAAAGAAGATGATTCAAGCAAGTTGTTTTATTTTTTTACTTGCTAACCCTCCCCCCCCCCCTCCACAAACACAATGGCGTCACACACGCCTTTCATATATAAATATATATAAATATATGTACTCTTATTGCTACAGAATACTCTTCGTGACTATCATCAAGTTTCACAAAAATACGGACGTGATTTGAATTTAACGAATTACACAAATTAAGGAAAAGTGTCGAAGTCATCTGAATGAAAGATTTACGAACTTCATTGAAAATTCAAAGAATTTTATTATCTCCGATACAACCGATTTCTGGAAATTTCATGCACAAGTATTTCTGACCTCACATTACTGATTAAAAAAATGCGAGTGATGAAACCCCTACTGAGTTGAGTAATAAAGGAAGTAATTGAGTAACATTGATTCCGATAAGTATTTGATCCGTTTAATATTGCACATCATAAACAGATTACATGTATGTTGTGCATATTTGAATACAATATCGATACAAAGAAAAATCCACAATGTCTCGTGCCAAATTTCCATACAAGGTGAGCGAATTTCATATCATATTTGGAAACCCCCAAAAATTAATCAATACTTACTACTTGTTCTGTGCATGTACATTAGAATCCTTTCCATCGAGCTCGGAAGTTGTATATGGAGGATGCCCCCCTGTGCTTAAAAAAAAAGATGTATTAATATGAAGACATTTCGTACCCCATGACTATTCATGCGGTTTCTTGTATAATTCGATTTCAGATTGAACTGCACGTTCATTTAGATGGCGCTATTCGTACGGAAACAATTTTAGAGACGGCAAGGTAAGTCATTAGTATCAGAAACTTATCCAAAACTAAAGGTATGTATAATAAAGAATTGTGAAAAACATCATGTTTTGCACCAAAAGAGAAAGAAAAATAATAAATTGATTCATAATTTTTAGCGTACTAAGAATATTTGTGAATCTCAGCCCTGAGACATTTTCATGTGCCCTGTTTTTGATGATAGCTTGTCCTGCTTCAGCCTACTAGTATATCAAGTCTAGTTGTCCCCCGTCTGTAATTTTTCACTTTTTCATCTTTTCTTGAGAACCACTGGACTAATTTCAACTTAAGGTGGCACAGAGCATTTTCAAATGAAGGGGATTAACAAGTGTTCATTTTCTTTCAAGGGGAGATAATCAAGAAAAGGTTAGAATAGGGTGGGGCTTTTCAAAACCACTGGACCAGAAGCGATGTATAAAAGTTTACATAAAAATATATGGGGGAAAATCTTTTCAAAAACCACTGGACAAGAAAGGATGAAACATATGTGAAAACTTCCTTAACTGTTAATTCTATGTTGTTCAAATAATGGACCAGGGATATTTAAGTTGGGGCAAAATACTAGCAGATCAAATTTTTACATCCGAATATAAAGGACAGAAAATCTTTAGAACCACAGGGCCATGGTAAGTGATACCAATATGCAAATATCCTCAAGTAATGGATATTCAAACTTGAATTTTCGGGACCTGAGATTGAAGCACAGTAGAGAATGGAATACATAGGAAAATTTATTTAAAAATCTTATCAAGAACCACAATAGAATGATTGATTTGAAAACATTGCCAAACTGTATAGATTTATTTTTTTCTCAATTAAAAAAAAAACTTTGACGAAGAACAGGACTAAGCCGTTTTAGTCATTTCACATTGAAGCATCCTCATGCTGTGTGCACTTTGGAGCTAGGAAGGGGTCACGATATAGGCTCAAATATATAATGAAGAACAGCATAGCCAAGATTACTCAGTAATTGAGCATTGTGATCCATGAACACTCCATTTTTAAGTATTTTACTTATTACAGGCGACGAAATATAAAATTTGAATGGGAGACACTTGAGGAATTAAAGTCCCATTTGGTAGTGGCGAAACCCCCCTATACATTTAAGGCACTGTTGGAGAAATTTGACACCTTCATGCCTGTGGTCGCGTAAGATCTTAATAAAGCTCATGACACAGTCAAACAGTCGATTTTTGAAATAATATAACCGTTATTTTATCGTTACGTATAAATGCATGAAATCACAATCTTTTTTTCTGTACAGAGGCGACAGAGATGCCATATATAAGATTGCCTATGATTTTTGTGAGGATTGTAAGGCTCACAATACTTTCTATGTAGAAGCCCGCTATTCGCCTCACTTGTTTGCAAACAAAATGACAAACGGTGCCAAGCCACCTTACGCCGAAACAGAAGGGAACATAACTCCAAAAGAAGTTGTAAACATCATTTGTAACGCATTCGAAAAAGGATCAAAAGATTTTGGGATAAAAGTAAAAACTATTCTATGCTGTGTTGAATATAACCCAGGTAAGTGTAAAGCTTACGGGTCTTTTTGCGTTTTTATGTCCCCGTATCGAAGATTCGGGGGTATATAGTTTTTGCCCTGTCCATCCGTCTGTCTGTCTGTCTGTTTGTCCGCAAAAACTTCAACATTGCCCATAATTTTTGATTGGTTGGAGCCATGGCTTTCATATTTCACATGTGTATTCCTTGTGAGAAGACCTTTCTTTGGGTACCACCATATTTGACCTTTTGACCTTGACCTTGGAGTTTGACCCAGTTTTGCAAAATTTTTCCCAACTTTAACCTTGGCCATAACTTTTGAACGATTGGAACTAGGGCTTTCATACTTCACATGTGTATTCCTTGTGAAAAGACCTTTTTTTGGGTACCACTATATTTGACCTTTTGACCCCGAAGTTTGACCTACTTTTGAAAAACTTTAACATTGGCCATAATTTTTGAACGGTTGGTGCTAAGGCTTTCATACTTAGCATATGTAATCCTTGTGACAAGACCTTGCTTTGGATACCAACAACTTTGACCCCTTGACCATATCTTTTCAATGGTTGCTGCTAGGGCTTTCACATTTCACAGGTATATTCCTCGGTACAAGACCTTTACTTTGGGTACCAGCATATTTGATTTGCATTTGAAAAAAATAACCTTCGCTATAAGTTGCCATACGGGGGCATCAGTGTTTCACAAACATATCTTGTTTTTCTTTGCTTCAATTACGTAATGTTTAGTAGAAAATCGCATACAAAATTGTGAAACCTTAGTATGGTTTGCCCCTCGTACTTAAAATTCGCCTCCTCATTTTGCCAAGGGCAGAGTATTTGGCATATATACAATATATATAGTCAGAATATTTTTTCTTAGCTGTTTTGTATTAAAATATGGAAAGTAATGAAATTAAATCATCGTTGATATGCATATACAATCACTTAAGAAACAATAATGAATACCACAGCAATTTGAAATATTTACATTTTCAAATATCTTTGTCCGAGATAAAGCCGTATATATAATTTTAAAAAAAGATGATTTTTTCATAAAGATATTGGTTTATGGATAGGCGTGGTTTAAAAAATCATGTGCCGAGAGAGTGGGAAATTGGGCGGGGCTTGGAGCCATGAAAATATAAGGAATAACTGTGGGGTTTTCGGTTTGGTTTAAATTTATGATGATGATCAAGCAATTGGCTTGCTTGAAAATTTTATTCTTTAATGCCTTCCGTGTTTATACATATTATCATGCAAGACAATTGCTTGATCACACCATCAAACCAAAATACTAGACAGATATTCCTTAAATATGCAGAATGGTCAATGGAAGTGTTCGAGTTGTGTAAGGAGTTTAAATCACGTGGTGTGGTAGCCATTGACATCGCGTGTGGGGATTTGGAACCTGGAGTTGAACATGAAGAATTGCATACAAGAGCCTTCAAGGTATATTCACTTGTTCACATACACTGATTTACAAACAATTTATAGAAAACTTTGAATAAAAGTGTGATGTGTCTATCAGAAAGTATTTCTCTCCTTCTCTAGGAACAGAAAAACAACTTACTCACACGGTCTGGTAAATTTATAGACATTCACACTACAAAATGCAGTTTTATGCTGGTATTTTTAGAGTGGGAGTAGGTGCGAGTTAGAATTATCTAAATCACACCAAGGGAGATGGATAGCTTTAATTTTGGGAGGAGGATCCACCATCAGCATCAAACTCGCTTCAATGTGATGACCCGCAATACTGGTTTAAGTCATGGACTAATGAAGAATTAGCACTGTTTGTCTTTCATTAATCACACTTAGGTCAAATCATTTAATAAAACATTCATAAGCAATTATTGAGCTTGTGTAATGCACTAAAATATAAACAAGGCTAAAATAAAAACACTTATGCAGAATACTTATTCAGAGTATACTATATTCTTTGAGTCACCGCAAAAATAAAGCGAGCTTGAAGCCTATATTGGATGCATGATAGTACGCTGTCGTATACATGTATACTTTGAAATATAGACGTCTTATGTTCCTCCATGAGTTTTATTAATGGTTATGGTACAGTTTATTTGAAAACACAATCTTTGCAAGTGCACCTGTAATTGACTTAATAGATATTTTTATGCTAGTATTTGGGAATTGATGATGTCATATCCGACATGTTTATTTCTAATATTTTCCTCTTTGCAAATAAGCAATGCACAAATTTTATAAAAATTGAAGATGATCATAAATATATATTATACACATATAGCCCTTTCATGAGGTCGATCCGTAAATATATCGACTTCACAGAAAAAGCATATCGACCGAGCACGAAGTGCGAGGTCGATATGCTTTTTCAGTGAAGTCGATATATCTATGGATCGACCTCATGAAAGGGCTACATTTGTTATATTATTTTTTACAGAGATTGACAAAATAAAATTTGAACTAATGGGAACAAGGCACACGCTTTCTTTCTTTCTTTTTTTTTTAACACGTAGAGACTAGAGATCAAAATAAACTGTTTAATTAATTGTGTTTCCTTTATACTGATAGAGTGATTTAGGGAATTTTTCAATTTAAAAGGCTACATTTGTTTTATTATATTTTGTGTCGATTTATGAAAAATATATCTAATATGTTTTAATATAGAGTAGATTCTTATTCAAGGCATTGTTATGTCTTACCAATTATTACAGAACATCACAATAAAAAATTGTAGGAGTTGAAGTATAATTTTTTTCCAGACTGTATTAGCTATTGTGAGTTCAGCACTATTATTGTTTTACAGAAGATTATTACCATTTTTAGAAACATCAAGTCGGTATGAGTTTCAAAATCTTAAAATAATAACACAAGTCAATATGATGTTATATATTTGATCATGTGATCAAGTTTGAACCAATCAGAAAAATTATATATATATATATATATATATATATATATATATATATATATATATATATATATATATATATATATATATATATATATATATATATATATACATTTCCAATGTCTTTGTCCGAGATAAAATTACAAATTGTAAAAATACTTTATTTCTACATAAATCTACTGGTTCATCGATAGGCGCGGTTAAAAAAAATCACGTGCGGGGCGGGACAAATAGAGACAGAAGCGGGGCTATTAGCACGGGAATTTGCAGAATCAGGAGCATGTAAATATAAGGAATAACTGTCAGATTTTTTGGATTCATGACGATGATCAATCGATTGGCTTGCGTGATAATTTTATGCATAAACGCCTTCGGCGTTTATGCAAATTATCACGCAAGCCACTCGATTGATCACATCATGAATCCAAAAAATTAGACAGTTATTCCTTAAATATATACATATATATATACATACACACACACATATATATATATATATATATATATATATATATATATATATATATATATATATATATATATATATATATATATATATATAAATATAATTTTGACAATCTTTTATTTTTACTACATGGTGAATTCGAGGTTTTCAGTTGGAAGTTTTTTTTTATGCCACCTTACCCCCAAAATGAATTTTAATGAACTGCATTTAATTCTCAACAGATTTAGCACTAATTTCTTTTCTGAATAAAAGGAGGGAGTAGTGAAATTTTAACTGATACGAAGGGGAGGACTATGTGTGCAATACCTTAAACCAGCTCTGTTACAACTCGATAATGTTTTTTTTCTTCCTTAGCTTGCATTTGAGCATGATATACACAGGACAGTCCATGCAGGAGAGAACGGAGCGGCAGCGGGCGTTAAACTGGTAGGAATCTTCTTAAATATGGCTACCCTGATACATTAAAAATAAATTTCATAAATATTTATTAACTGGTTCGAGTTCAACATGCATTATGCATTTTGTCGGACCCAAGAACCAAACTGTTTGCCTGCATGAGTCATTCTGTCGGAGGCAACAGTTTGGTTCGAGGGTTCGACAAAACGTTCCCCGTCAGTAAACGTTTTGTTATATCTTTTATCATAATTTCCAAAATATTGGGATCCAAATACTTTTGACTGACTTCAATGGAAACACCTACCATATACCTTAATTTTGCATAATTTAAGAATTACAGACAGTTAAAAGTTGGTGAATTGCGTCTAATTCTGGCTAACGATCGACGAGTTTTGAGATTTAGATTAGTGTTGATAGTCACGTGGTACTCCGGATCCTACGTCATGTGCGCGACGACTACTTAACTCTGTACAAGTAGAGCTTTTTCAAAAAGCTTACCGTCTTTAGCAACAACCTTAAACACTAAACTGAGCTCAACCTATCAGGGTGTATAATTCTTGAAAAATTCTTAGTTTTGTATTTCTTCACTTATAGTTTTTTTTTTCTGACGTAAGCACTGCCAAGAGAAAGGTTAACAAATGCTCGACTGTCTCCGTAAACTTCGACTCTGCAGCCGAGTTCATTCTGCAAACCTTGGATGATTCCGTCACCTTTGTGATATGTAGATAAGGTATGAATCGGCCGAGGTGTGTCGAGTGCTGCCGAGATTAGAAAGACTGTGCAAAACAAAGGGGAAAAGAATACATTCAAGCTCTAAAACTTGCATGCAATAAAGATCAATTCTGTTAACATTGAAAATGTAGAAACGTTTTACTATTAAAAAAAAAAAAAAAAAAAAAAAAAAAAAAAAAAAAAACTAGCATGCTATTTTGAAAGAATTACTGCGAATTTCCACTGTTCGTTTTGTCATATTTTTTTACGATTGAAAATCTTGAAAAATTGTTAAGTCGTACGAAAATTAGATCATCAGAAAATGATCTCCCTTGCCTTGAACAGCATTTCAACCAATGAAATAATTGAAAATTTTCTCATCATGCAATTTCTACCAATCACTAAAGAGAGGAAGTGCATAGTCCGAAGACTGTAAAATACTTCAACTCTGTATACCGTCTTCCAAGGAAGACGGTAATTAACCACAGGCACTTGTTTCGTATACAGGACACCCCCTACTTTTTCTTTTCACAAGGTACTTAAGTCAACTTCAGATACCCCCACTTCAGAATAAAAAACTCGGAAATCTCTGGATTTATTAGCTCTACTGGCCAGAGACTAGAAGAGCTTATGCGATATTAAGGTGTCCGTCGTCCGTCTGTCTACAATTTTTCAAAATGCTATGCCTCCTGCAGTTTTGATCTGATTTCAATCAGGCAAACAAGTAGACTACACCAAGATACATAAATCAGTGCATCGGTTTTTGATTTTGATGAACAGTGTTGCCATGGTTACTAAACGCAACTTCTACTACACTTTTGGTCTGATTTCAATATAACCTGGCACACAAGTAGACTACTCTAAGATACATCAATCAGTGCATTGATTTTTTTTATTTTGGTGAACAGTGTTGCCATGGTTACCAAAACTAGAAATTTTTGTGAAATTCCTTTAAAACGCTCCCCCTACTACTGTTTTGGTCTGAATTCAATATTACTTGGCACATTGTAGACTACGCTAAGATACATCAATCAGTGTGTTGATTTTTTTAATTTTGGTGAACGTTGTTACCATGATCACTAAAAATAGAAGTATCTGTGAAATTGTACTCCTCCTCCCATAGTTTTTGTGTGTGAAATTCCTTTTAAATGCTACTTCTCCTACAATTTTAGTCTGATTTCAATATAACCTGACACACAGAGTAGACTACACCAAGATACTTTATTCTGTGCATCGGTTTTTGATTTTGATGAACAATGTTGCAATGGTTACTAAAAATGGAAAATTTTGTGAAATTCTTTCAAAAGGCTACTCCTCTAACTGTTTGAATCTGACTGTAATAAATCTTGCCATAAAAAGAGAATAAAACCAAGGACCATTATTCTAATTATTGCTGTTGCGCAGTTTCAAGTGCAAGTGCTACTTTTCTTTTCCTTTGCTTTTAGTACAAACCAGTAAAGCTACAGTCTAGTCAGAGTATCTGGTCCTACAATATAAGCCTAACCGGAAGTTGATGTATCCCTTGTGAAGTCTTAAAATGTGCTGAGACAATTTTCGAGGAATAAATGAGTAGTTTATAATAAATATGCTCCTCAAAGGACATTAAAAAAAGTATCTCGAACGAACTATTAGTATGTTTTGTTAAGTAGGTTAATGACTGATAAATTATTGAATACAAGTTTGAAGAAGGGGTGTCTGAAATTGAGTAAAATAGGTGCTTTGTTGAAAGAAAAAGTAGAGTGTCCTGTACAGGAATATAAACATACTAAAAAAAACCGGTAAACGAAAATTCAATAATACGGGGCGGCAAATAAGTGTTTGTTGCTAAGACTTATGCATAACTTCAATAAAACCATGCAGTAAAATGAATTCCTGCTTATCATAAATTTATAAAAACAACAATAAAAAATCGTAAAAATAGATGCAAACATTGCGATAGGTGGCGACTATTGTGACTTTGAAATGAACGTGTTTTTACATAATATGTCTGTTTTTATAATTAATTTTCGATGAAAGTCTGCGAATATATATCTGCGCTGTATTTTTTATTTTATTTTTTTTTTACTCGTTTTTAATGTCTATAACTATGTAAGAACTGGTTGACAACTACTTAGTATTTCAATGTTAATGTAACATTTTCCTACGTGCGTAACTGTCGCCAGCAAATTTGCAGTGCTTCATTGGCATTAAACAAGCAAACAAATGTTTGTCCAGCTGTGGTCAGCCGACCAGATCGTGGACATTTAAGGAAGCTCTAAACACTGCACACTAAAGAGTTCTACTTATAGGGTAGTTTTATGCAGTTAGAGTGATCTGCCCTTAGAAGTAAGATAGAAAAAACGGTTATTTACAGATAATTACACAATTTGTAATAGATCAGAATATTCCTAGCTTTATATTAGACCAAGAATAAGTAATTGATTTCATTTTTTCCATTATTTTTCCCAATGTAAGTAAACAACAGTGATTTCTGCTCACGAATAGTCCATTGTCTTTGAGCATTTTTCCTGCAAAAATAAGGCAGGTACCCTATGTTGAACATGAACCAAAAAGACTCAATATGCGTATCTTTATATGATATATTTTTCTCCAAGTCCAAAAAGCACTTTTTGTTAGTGTTTAGAGCTTCCTTAATCTACAAATGTTTCGTACACGATTCCTGCAGATCACGCGCCGATCTTTTTTAGATATGGCACACATGAATTGCTACATCAACACCATGATATTTTGTTTTTTAGATTAAAAAAAATCATAGTCATGCTTTAACACAGGGAATATATATTTATATTAGCTGTGTAAAGTTAAGCGGTCATGTTTACTTCTCAGTAAAACAACAGCTGGAAAATATTACGGAGAGAAATTTCATTTTAAAATGAACATCACTGTTGTTAAAAGATTCCGTAATTTAACGTTTTGTTGTTCTACTGTATATTTAGTTTGGACTTGACATTTTCCTAGGCACTGGATGAGATGCACGCGGAGAGGATTGGGCACGGATATCGAGTTGTTGACGATCCGGAGTTGTACGAACGCTGCCGGAAACAAAACGTGCACTTTGAGGTGTGCCCCCTGTCTAGTGTCAAAACTGGCTCCGTCTCCCAGGATCTGGACAAACACCCCCTTCACAAGTAAAATCACACTAAAAGAAGTGCCACCTTAGATGATGTAATTTTTGCATATTCTTTTGCAATTGTAATAAAGTGAATATAAAATAAATAACTCTTGATTTGGCAGGTTCATCGACGATAATGTGAATTTTTCGATTAATTCGGATGACCCTATCGTCCTTGACAATGACCTTACTCAGGACTATGAGATGGTTATGGAAATGGGACTGGACAAAGATCACGTGATCGCAACGGTAGGTATAGCAACAGGTCAATACCGGTGGCTGTGGTTTTTCCAGCAACAGCAAGCACCAAAAGGATGTATTAATTGCTTGTATTTGGTGATATATGATACTTTTTTTTAAATTATGCTAATAACCAAGTTCTCCATGAGTGTGCTATTAATTAAAATATGGATGCAATTAATTAATTTTAACAAGTGACTAGTCACCAAATGTCATAGGGACTTAAGACAATCTTAGCAAAATCGGGTATATAGTATAATAGGGGAGCTCCCCTATTATACTATATACCCGATTTTGCTAAGATTGTCTTAAGTCCCTGTGCTAGTCACCATGTAGTTAGAAGTTTTTCATCAGAAAATCATCCTTTTATAAGTATTTTAATATATTCTTGAGCATTTGAATATGTGGATATTCTGTAAGCATCAGGCATACAGTACTAACGATCTTTGTAAACATAAGATCAGTAAACTAGTGTTTATTATAGAAGTCATTTTCCATTTTTAAGACATTCGGTATTATCAATTTACATTCTAGTAATATTGCTACAAACTTCACTGTAGGAAAGCCGATGACCGTAATATAGTTTACGGTCATCAAAACATGTCGGCTGAGATGATCGGTTGAAAATTTTCGACGGCGATTATAAACATTATTCAATAAAACTGAATAATTTAAGGTATTGGTTAAACGAACATCGATGTTATCTCCACACCAGTAGATGTTGTTTACCCAAACAAAAGAAAATGAAATGATAAAAGGCCTTCGAAATTTTGCAGTATGATGACCGTAACAAACACATTCCAGCGAGAAGATGATGACCGTAAAACAGTTATATAGATGACCGTAATCTTTGTACAAAATTCATGTTAGATGTTTTATATCTTATTTAACATCAATTCTTCATGTTCTATAAGTATTATTTAGAGAACGAGATGGGTTCTGTATCGTAGATACAAATTTTGGGGTGGACGAGTGCGTAGCACGAGTCTCCACCCCCAAATTTGTATCTACGATACAGAACCTGTCGAGTTCTCTAAATGATTTGTGACACGATCAATCAAAGAAAAATAGCTCCGCCCACTTTATAACTGTGCAGCATCCAAACTTCCGTCAGACTTCTGTAGATGAGGCCTCGATGGGGAGTATACATCCGCAGTATATATATTTCCACGAAAAACGTAAGATTCGGTCAGATCAGTTTTGACAATTAAATGGGGTAGTTGAATCGAGTGATAGTCAGTCTTAATGGATAAGGTGGAGGATTTAACAGTAGTTGTTGTGGTTTGTTGTACATGGAGATTGATCATAATATATTTCAGGGATCTTAAAATCCCGGTTTAACTAGATTTACAAAAACAGGATATACAGAAAACTCTTCGATGAACTTTGATGCCACAGATTTTTATTTTCTAATTGAATTGCGACATTAAAAACGTAGTGAAAGAGACGTGCGGTTGTCGTCAGCGATAAGGATTTAAGATGAAATTTTTAATTGAACGAGTTTGCACGAGGAGAGTGGTATTTTCCATTATTGTGAATTTTCCTTTCAATCGAAATTACGTGTAGATTCTGTGTGGAATACGTTTTTAAAAGTGATTGAGAATTTTTGACATTTTTCATTCCCAGGGAAATATTTCTCCAAAATTTATGATAGAAAAACTTCAGCGTTTACAAACTTGTACGTGCTTTTTAATAAATTGAATCAGATTTATTTTTAGACCGTGCTGTATTTTAGATACAGAATAGTTGGCTAATAAAATACGGTATACAGTGCTAATACAGAACGGAAAGTAGCTCCACCCACCATACACCCGTTCTGTATTGCTAATACAGAAGAGTAAACTTCAAAGAAAAACACCGCTGTCGTGTCACAACACCCCTGTAAACAACTCTGATGTGATCGGCAACACTTGAAGAAAATATCGTAAAGAATAAGTTAAAGCAGTTTTGTATGTGCTGGAGTATAACCAACTGTAAATAATGCTAGAAAAGATTTAATTCGGGCAAATATCACCCAGATTAAATTTGTAAAATAATTTCTGTGCAAATGTTACGGATCAAATCGACAATGCTCCAAACATCGAATTTTCATGCTTTGAGATAGTTTAGATTATTATCATCTATCAACATTGAAGGTCATTCTTAGAGGTATGAACTAAACATTTTAAAATTAAAACTGTATACATTAGCATCAAAACAACTTTTAATTGGAAACTTTGACAACTGCGAGGCGATCGTCAACGACATGTATCGTTTATTAAGCGATCGTATAACTGGGAAATAGCGTGAAAAAAAAAACACAAATCAGAGTAAATTCTGATTAGGAAGTGTTATTTCGATGTATAATATATTATTAAATTCAAACAAGGCAGTCGGTCATTGTGATATATCGTTTTTAACCATTAAAATTGACCTACATAAATATCAGAAATTAAACTTAACTATGTTAATCAAGGAGATACTACGGAAAACGAACTGGAGGGCTCGCAAAGTTTTACCTCAAAGTTATAGCAGTTATAATATCTCATATAATATATTTCAACAGAACAGAATTTATTTGCAGGCACACAGTATCGTTTTTTAAAAAAAAAAAAAAAAAGGGGGGGGGTAAAATGTAAAATTACCTTAGAAAGTTTGACAAGCAAAATAAGTTATATTTAGAGTACGAGTTTCTTACTGTATCGGAGATACAGGGCGGGGCTTAAGGCGAGAGCGATAGCTCGAGCCGGGCCCCGCCCTGTATCTCCGATACAGTAGGAAACGAGTATTCTAAATGACTTGTGACATGACCTTTCTTATGACCTCGCTAATTTACATGTGTATTTGGGTATATATCTCTCAACTAATCAGATGATTTTGCAGAAAGTCGATTTAGTACCCCATTTTTAGCAATCGCAACTGAAATGTCGAGTGAGGTGGATGTGCAGGTATCTATCAATTGATTTAATTATAATTAGGAGATGCATTATATAATGTGTTTTCCCAAAATTTAATTTATATTTGATTGCGTAGGTTTTTTCCTTTCTATTTCGCTCTTGCTCACTTTTTTTTAAAATCTAAGCTACAAATTTAGTGCAAAACATTTTGGTACATAAGAATCATAAATGGGAATGTATTTGAAGCAAAAATGTTTCGGGGAGGTTGTATTCTGAGAGAAATGTCCGACAATGTCATCGACCGGTCGTCATACATGTGTATACAAAATTCTTGGCTCCAAATTGAAATAAACAGATGTAAGAAAGGGGACATATTACCTTCATGTTTGAAACAAAATGTAGAGGCACCAAAGGCAGATCCAGCACTCACTCGCGCGCGTCGGTATCCCCCCCCCTTTTCGAGATTTTTTTTTTCTTTTTTGGCTTTCGTAAATTATGTTTGCTAAATCAAACTTGTATATTACACTTTTAATTTATAAACACGAAACGATCACGCACATATAGTGTCAGGCCTGATTATGAATCTAACCCCCCCCCCCCACGAAACCCCCGATTTTCCAGTTTGGACATTTTTTTTTTTCGAAGAAAACCATTTGTGTACTGCCCCAACTCCCTCCTTTCTAAAATTTTTGAATCCGCCACTGGTAACTTTACGTTGTAAAATTCTATTCTTAATTCATCTCAAATTTTGAATAAATACTAACAGCGCTATCATGCGATTTGATTGATTCTTATGTCTATATCATTTAAGATACGGATTCAGTTATCCGTCATCGCTAGAAATAAACCGTACTGTATCGTTGATATTTTGCAGATACAGAACAGTTTATGCTTATTTGCATAAGAAACGCCCACTAAAAGTATTCTGTATCGCAGTTATTGTACGGCTGACTTCAAAGGAAAACTCGCCGGGTCATGTCACAAGAAAGGAAAATTGTCCAAATTCGAAAAATCCTTTATTGAATGTGTGTGTGTTGGGGGTGGGGGTGGGGGAGTTTGGTTTCTTCTTTCACAATCAAATTTTATTCACAAAGTACCAGAGTATCACTATTTAACTATACTGCCAAAAAAGGGGGGAGGGCAACCAACCTTTCAATAAACATTTCAACTGTTACAGTAAAAAGTTATGTTTAAAAAAGTGGAAGGAAGCAGCCTCACTAACCCCCCCCCCCCAACCCCCCCCCCAACCCCCCCCCCGTCACATTTTGTGATATCCCGATGAGTTGTACAACTCAGAGGCAATAAAGATTTGAATTGAATTGAGTTTAATAGAGTTAGCTATCATTATTTGAAGGAGTTGGAATATGGCCTTTCTGACATATTTTATTTCTTAAATAAAATTTGTAACATGACGACTTTTGTAAGAAAGCAATAAAACATGTCAAAAAGGACACATACCTATCATTTCCCCTAAATTTTCCATATCCCGTAAATAAAAAATATAAATACTACAATAATAACAATTTTCAGTAAAATGATAACACTTGTAATTTTAGTTTAATTGATAGATATCCCAACTCCTGTAATTGTTATTTTTATAGTATAGTGTATTAATTTTTTTTTTATTTACTGAAAATTTGGGTAAAATTTATAGGTATGCCAACTCTTGTGATTGAACAGCCATTCCCTAGACAATAAAACCTGTTTTTCTATAATCCTAAAATTCGGTCCTTCCAATACTTTTTGTTAGTATCTGATTCATTTTAATCGAGTGCCAATAGACAATTATTAGCAAGAGTTCTGGGTTTTTGATTTTGCTGTCTTAAAATGTAGACATAATTATCCAAGCAGAAGATTAGAAAATCTGTCAAACCCCCCCCCCCCTTCTTAAAAATCAAATGTTCGGTGCCCTGTTCTGTTTCGACAGACTTTCAGCCCATGTAAATCGGTAAACTCTTAGTACTATATTTCATTAAACTGTTAAGGGTATTTAATGAATTTCAAATTGCACGATCGCATGTTTATCATATTTTCTTAGTTGTATGATCGCACACAGAATCGTTGCCGATCGTAAAAAACGTTTGACACGTGTACACTTCAAATCTTTATTTTGACGCTTTCTGTTTGATATTACGGTCATCATAAATTTACGGTCATCCCTCTTCACGGAATAAACTTCGATTACGGTCATCTTAATATTTTGTTACGGTCATCATTCTCAAAAACTTTGAGGTCGTACTTCAGCTTTATTTCCTTAAGTTCAAGTAAGCTATAATAACCAATAGCAAGTTTTCATTAGCGTACATTCAATTTTCAGCGGAATTTACACAGACATGCTATAAAATGTTTGATATCTTGAATGAAAAATTCTTACCGGTCAGCTCGGCCGACATGTTTTGATGACCGTAAACTATATTACGGTCATCGGCTTTCCTACAGTGAAACTTGCTAAACAAACGTCCGTTTTATCGAGTTTGTATTGTAGTGTTAGGGAACTGCATTGGCTCTTGGTTATCAATACATTTACACTCATCAGTCAAAAAAGCTCAACTAATCCCATTTAAGATACAATATTCTATTTTAATCAGATATTTCACGCTGCCCGGTCCTGTTTTGCTTCACCGGAAGAGAAGGAACAAATTCTGAGGGATCTGGTCAAAGTATACGGAGACAAATTTATGAAGATGTGAAACCGGAAGTATTGGTCAGACGAAATCCATCTTCAACATAAAATATCCATCAAGACGATGAAGCCTATGTCACATACTTGAACTATTGAAAAACGTTTTTAGAATGTTAAATGTGTATGATTTTTTCAATCTGGATATTAAAATATTAATAAAACCTTCTTTTTGGAAATACAAAAATAGACAAATCCTATCTATTCAAGATGTTTAACTTCTTACTTTGATCTTACTATATTACTTATTTGATGAACTGCACTAAATGAAAAAAAAAGATAAGAAAAATTAAAAATGTACAGTTGGCTTGATTCGTTGTTTTCCAAGGATTCTTCTGACGATCACACTGAATAAAAAGTACATTAAAGTTTGTTATATTTTTTACTTAAAAAATAGATACATGTTGTAAGGATATAAATGAAAGGGATAAATGTAATTAAAAAAAAAAGACAAGCAGTTTTAAGTATTTTCTTCGTCAAGCTCATCTAAAATATATGTTTCTTGAAATATTACTCTGTTGTGTGACATGTGTTGTTCAAAGATAATGATCTGAAACAGATAAAAATGTCATGATAAATTAGGATGCAATACATACATATATATATATATATATATATATATATATATATATATATATATATATATATATATATATATATATATATATATATATATATATATATATATATATATATATATAATGACTTTTAAAATGTCAATTGAAATTTTGAAAAAAATATTTACGTTTTGTTGTGAACTTTTTAAAACATTTTTTTTACCTCGTTAAATCCTTGTCTCAGGTAAGGACCCGGTACAAAAAGTGTTTGTTGGGGCCCTTTATTCCAGTATCGACCCAAGTTAACTCCGTTGACGTACACAAAACCTTTGGTCCATCCCTATAAATGGGAAAAAAATACTCAGAGGGAAATAAATACCATTGTCCTCTCCGATTTAGCCGTTTTACACCCATTTAATTCATTGTTAATGTAAGTAATGCGTGGATATTATTTTATCTTTTTAAAAAAAAACAAACAAACAAAAAAAAAAAACATCATCACTATAACTCGTGTCTAACAATGTCCACTGTAGAGACGACCCATCACTCCACAATATAAGTACGGGGAAACATTTTTAAAATATTTAAAATCAGATTTGTATGATAAATAGTTTTTTTTTTATGTTGGAATGCTTTAATGTTCCATCATACAATACTTCATATTTAGATATGAGTCTAGTGGAATATAGGCGATGAACATATGACCCCGATACAAACTTTCATATTTAGATATGAGTCTAGTGGAGTATAGGCGATGAACATATGACCCCGATACAAACCTTCACATTTAGATACGAGTCTAGTGGAGTATAGGCGATGAACATATGACCCCGATACAAACTTTCATATTTAGATACTAGTACGAGTCAAGTGGAGTATAGGCGATGAACATATGACCCCGATACAAACTTTCATATTTAGATACGAGTCTAGTGGAGTATAGGCGATGAACATGTGACCCCGATACAAACCTTCATATTTAGATATGAGTCTAGTGGAGTATAGGCGATGAACATATGGCCCCGATAAAACCCGGGTAGATCTCTCTGTTTGTTGTATGACTCCCATTCAGTTTGATTCTTAAGACTGCAAATAGTATCGAATGAGGAATATTTCATTTATAAATTAAACTGGTGAGAAAAAGGACATATGAAATTCTTTTGAACACTGCAATATGTTTAGGGCAGTCAAGTGATTGTGTTCAACACAAATTAGATGGGATTTTGTTTAATATTTCACTTAAACAAATTCAGATCTTGAAAACATCTAAGCTATCACCGCATTAAAGATCAATATTGTTGAAACAGTAATCAAAATTCAGTCCACTGCGGCATTTACCGTTTGTAAAAGTCTTCATCAAATTCCAAGGGGTAAATATCGACGTCATCCAATACCTCTCCGTCCAAAAAACAGTTGTTGTCCAAACCTAACAGAAGAATACTCATTATTTAGATAGCAATCTAGTGGAGTATAGGCGATAAATATATGACCCAATGAAAAAAAATAGGCACTTAATTGTTAGTGTACCTTGATTTACATAATGTAGCATCTGACCCTACTTCCCTTTTGTTATTTAATTTAATTCATACTAAGATTTGTGTGATGAATAGTCCAAGTTTGCTCTGAAATTCTTACCTTTTAATTGTTCGTCAAGGACACTCGCTCCAAAAATTCCAAAATTCACACGTCCCCTATTCTCAACTAAAATGTCAAGCACCCTTTCTCTCTACAAGAAAACGATTTTAATTTTTTTTCAACTTGCTTCGTTTTCACTTTTTGTGTGCGTATGTTTGGTTTATTCGTTCCTCTTGCCATTATTAATGTGCTTTTTATATACAGAGAAATTACCGGTAGATATATTATGTTTTGACACGCAAAAACTTCCTTTCTTGTCTGAATTCAAATGTCAAGGTCAGTGTTGGCTTCTGTTTTTTTTTTTATGTACAAGGTTATGCTAATAATATAACAAATCATAGGCATAAGTTAGGATACATGTATGTGTTTGACTCCGAGGTTAAATGTCAAGGCCAAATATATAATAATAACATATCCCACATGTCATAACCTAGGCAAATGCAGAAAAAAGTTCACACGAGTATGAATTGCAAGCGAATACAAGGAATAAAAGTTCGTTGAAGATTATATTAAACTCTCCTCTTCATTCAACCAATACCCTTCATCTGTATATCTGGCGCTAGGGAACATTATTTTTAAGAATTTAGACTCTGATAAGAACACTGTGTACAGGGATATCCTCCAAGTTGTGCAATCAAGTCAGTGTACAAAAGCAGTCATGCAAGATTCTTATATATATCCTAATGCCTCTAAAGTAGCATTCAGAATTTCATTTATACCGGAAAGGCACCACTGTACTGTCCCAGTGAGATATTAACGTTTACATTGTCCACCATTCCCTCCAGAATAGCAACAGAGTTACCATCAACGAATACCTGCATTGAAAACCAAAAAAAATGTATTATGTAAGTAGAAATTACAGTATGATATATTTAATCATCTACACAATCTAAAAACATGTAATAAATTAACAGATTCATGCGATACCTAATTTCAACAGACCATAAAAAATAAATAATTAAATGAATAATTGAACACTTTTAGATACCGATATCTAATAATCTAGTATCTAAGGTATAGATAGCATTGACAGGTTTAAATGTAGTAGAGCTGACCTCGATTCTGTCCCTGGGGAAGTCTGTGAAGGTCAGGTTATCCCCGTGGGTAATGTTGGCCCGGTATAAGATGTACCCGTACATCTGTCCACTGAAGCTATCATTGTCCACCGGGTGTAATGGTATAAGCTCCATAGGAACGGTTTTATTCATCCGGATTCTCTAAAGGAAAAAGTTTGATAAAAAATCGTCTCTTGTTATTGATTTTTAATTTTTTTTTTTTTACTGCATTGATGCATGTAAATCGGTATATTTTAACGCATCAATAAAGAAAACAGAGAAATAATAAACTATACTTCGTACAATAAGATTTTTTAAGTTTTCTTTATTATGATACAGTCAAAACATTTTATTCTGCAGAAACAAGTCTAGCTGATTTGTTTGAGACAAAACATTAGCTGAAATAATGTAGCCCTCCTTTTTTGAGAGGAAAACATCAGATTAAAAAAAATTGAAATTCAAAGGAAATATACATTAGGCCCGTAGCAATGGTGGGGTTGGGGTGGAATGGGAGTGGGGCAGCCTCCCAAAGAAAATCTGACAAGGCAAAAAAACCCTTGAATTTGCCACCAGTGCTCGACCTTACACCCACAAAAAGGAGGGGGGGGGGGGGGGACTAACATCTAAATGAAAATATTTACTACAGCCAAATACTATACTCAGATCGAAAAATTTGGGGGCAGCCCCCTGCCCCTCCCTTCCGCATTCTACAGGCCTGTACATTCTAGATCTAACAAAATTTTTAAGGTGAGGAGGCATCTCAGTACAGAGTTTGCTTGGTGTTACCTGTGCTATTTTTAGGATATTTTCTAACGGCATGTAGTGTTTGATGTGAACACGACCTGCATAACCTGCAAATATATTTTGAAGAAATATATACACGAACTCATATATGCGTTGTATTTATCTATAGACATGGTATTTCTTCAAGTGCAGCGTGACTGAATTTTCCACGTCTGTGCTATTAATCGTTATTCAGCATTCGTTATTTATGGTCGCTTACATAGATAGTTTCTTTCATAAAGTTTTATGTATTCTAATCATTTAAACTGGTTTTGTAAAGAAGTAAATGTACTCAGATTTACACCTCATAATAACATTTAAAATTTAAGGAGTGGGCAAAATTAGAAACTGCTGGTTTATTATTTAAAAAGATTGATATTTTTTAAAGTACTTTATCATGGAAACATTGAGTTACCGAAGTCTTCTTTGGGCGTGTCGTAGGGTATTTCACGTCCAGGCATCCCTGAAATATTCGACAAAATGTTGTTCTTTTGTTATGCTGTTTATGATGAAATTTTAATTGCCGTAGCTCGTCACTTTGAAAACCACTATACTTTACGTTGCTTGTTGTTTTACCGTGAATATTTTCGTGGATGATCTGTCTAGCTATTCTGTATTTCTCAGTTATATCACCAGCTTCAGTCAACAAAGCATCGTAATCTGTAAATCATGATGTCATTGTCATCATTATCATCAACATCATCCGAATTCCTATTTAAAATAAAGTCCGTCCATGAAACATAATATACCACCTACCATAGGAAGTGACGTCAGTCTTCAGTGTATTCTTTTCAAAGTCCCAGTTAGCCCCACTCATAAAGCCAAAGTTCGTCCCTCCATGGAACATATAGAAGTTTATCGACGCGGAGCGATTCAAAATAGCTGTCAATGTGCTGCCAAAGTCTATAAATTGAAAAATAATGATGCTTGAATAAATCTGAACTTAAAAAAATAAGAACAAGTTTTTTTTAGCATCCCGTTTATTTCAGATGGTGATGATCAGATGACTAGTACTACCAGGTATTATATAAACATATTATATAGTTTCGGGTTTTCGAGTTACACAGCCACTTATAAACATTCATTAATGTAGCCCTTTTTTAGCCCATTCATTTTTGATACGTCGGTTCATTTTTCTATATAGTTGCTTGTTTTCGGAACCAAAATAATATATATTTATGCATTTGAGGAAGGGGTATACCATTAAGAGACTGTGTGTGATGCGAGCCACCCCAGTAATCAAACCATCCGGACCAATACTCGGTCACCATCAAAGGAAAGTCATCACTAAGCGCTTCGACTTTACGGAAAAGTTCTTCCCCCTGGGCGATATCCTGAAAATTCACAGTAGGTAACGCTTCTGAAAAAAAAAAAATAATCGCAATAAAACAACATAACTAAAAAAAATTATAGAATATTTAACATTGCCTGACAATCACTAAATTATATCAACGATTTTAAAATTCCGGTTTTATTGGTTGCTCTATACATCAACTGACAGTTTGTGTACTCTGTAACCCGTCTGTACAGAGGAGTTCCGACAGAATGATGAGATGATAACTTTTTAGTAGGAAATGTACAGCATTTGGCAATTTCTTAAAATATTTCCCTTCGATGTTTCCTGGTCAATACTTGATGCAAAGAAGTAAACACTATCATATCGAAAAGAGTGCTTGCTCTGTGCGAAATACGCTCACATTGCGGTGAACAGGTTTTGGCTTTAGAGAAAATTAAAATATTTTTTAATGTTAAAATATTATCGCTTTTTTTTTTAAATATTCTGATGCTGGCAAATAGCGTTAAAGCAATGTATGTATGGAATGCCAAATTAACATATATTCAAATATTTGATCCTATCTTCAAATATTTGTACCTATCTTCGAGTAATTGAACTCATCTCCAAATAAATTGAAGATAGGTACTTCTGAATTAAAGACAAGTCTAAATGAATTAAAGATAGGTGAAAATAAGTACACTTATTTAAATATTTGTACATATCTTCAAATCAATATATTTAAATATGTGTTAAGATAGGTACAAATCAATTATACATAGATTCAATTCAATTGCACCTATCCTTAAATTCAATTATACCTATCTTTAATTCTTAGTTTGTTCTTAAATGTTTGAAGATAGGTACATATCAAATAATTTTACCTATCTCCAAACCTAGGTTTAATTCAATTGCACCTTTCTTTAAATCAATTATACCTATCTTTAATTCTTAGTACATGTATTAGTAAATCTTAAAAACCATTGTACCTATCAACAAATGAATTAAAGATAAGTATAATTGAATTCACCCCATCTTCAATTCATTTGGAGAAAGGTAAAATTGATTTGAAGATATGTACAAATATTTGAATATGTATTAATTTGGCGTTTCGTATGTAAGTAACGTATGCGTACACAATCTCCCCCAAAAAACGAGCAGCATCTTGATCAATTTGAATTTTCTCTATAAGGTTTAGTTTTATCTTTAATTCGAACTTAAAAATCGATACAGTGAAATCTTCATGTAATATAAACTCGAACAGGCAACAGGTTTTAGTTTCAAATGGGACAAAAAGTGCGGAGTTATCATTGAAATATCTCATATAAGAATATTCTAGAGAGCTTTTGTTTAATGATATTAAAATAAGATATAGAGAAGAGGAGAACATTTTGGAATATTTGAATTTTAATAACACCGATAACTGTTCATCAAACTGTTAAATCCGCACATTGTGTTTCTTGAAGCAGTCTTTGCAATTTAATATCGAAGTTCAAATTCATTCAATGAATGTAAGAGGAGAAGTATATTGGATTTTTTCAGAATTATTCTTTTCGAAATCAAATATAAAAGATGCTGTATCTTAATTGATGCGTGATATACTCTTAGCAAGGTTCGTTGAAATAAGGCTAGTAAATTAATCAGAGTCCAAGCGCAGAAGCATATTAGTATGATTTACAACATTCTTATATCTTTAGTGACAGCATTTCATTGAAATGCAAAATTGATTTGTAGATTTAACAATATTGACGTATTTTACACTTATCTTAAATTTTTCAACGAAATCAGGCAAAATTAAAGGAGGAGATAGGTTTTGAAATTTAATAAATAATTTTCTAAAAGTAGCAAAGCTGTTTATTGTTTACTAGAAAACCCAAATTGTTAGTTATTATACTGTTAGATTTAAATAAGCCTTATCAAAATAGAGTGAAAACTATTGCAGAAGATGTTATCACGTGATAATGCGTTTGGTAACAACGTCATCAGCATGGAGTGAAAATGAATAACTGTGTCATGATCACTCAAATTAAATAGAAATCAGACAGAAGGAACTGCGCTATTTTAAGGACACAGTGATGGACACTTCTTGTGTACGACAAGTAGAATAAGACACTTCGAATTCTCTTATCATTTGTTTTCCTGCAATAAAAGCAGCAATCTCCCTTGCAGAGTTGTCTTTTGTTCCATTTCTCAGACACCTCAGACACCAAGATTTTTGACATAAGGTAAAAAAAAAATGTTATTCCAAGGATTATTTCAAATTAAATTAATAGTTCCATATCTACGTAGTAAATATAAACTTAAAAGATAAACATTAGTGAATGAATTTAATTATAGTGAATTAAAACAAACGCACTATTTCTTGTGCTTAACACTGTGACATACGCGAGCCAACGACAGAGGTGAATGTATGAGCCGATCGTAGAGAGTGTAAAAGCAGTAGTCCCCAAAAAGAAAAAAAAGTTTCAATCTGGATTAGAAATGCAATAGTTAGAACTGCGTTGGTCTTTAAGGTTTTCACCCCTACTTCTTTAGCTTCTTTTGTACATTAAGCTTGTTAATACACATAGAACACTGTATTCCCTGTTGAGAAGTTGACAGTTCTTTGTACCTCAATGAGGAGGAGTAAAAACGAGCCATCAACTTCTCAACAGAGAATAAAAACAAGTTGCAAAACAATTTATGTATATTTTTATTCTGAATACTAATATCTTTCTATAAAAAGAAGGCAGATGTAGACAACTATTAAAAATACAAATATACTTCACATTAAATAATGAAATACACACAGACACGCAATAAACTTGAGGAAAAAATCCTTTGATAACACACTTTATATCATAAAAGTTACCACTCTCACACCATTCTCATCAACCTGAATAAGATTGACAGCTTTCGTTTATATTTGCGAGATATATGCCGTTCTCTGACGTGATGCATGAGAACTGTTAAAAATTTGATTTATTTCAGAAATCTGCAATCTTTATCGTTGATAGTGCCTCCTCTCTTGAGGGGAAATGATGCTTTTGAACTGAAAGAATTCTTTTATTTTTATACCTGTCAAGACTCTATACAAATTTGCACCGAGCCTGTCAACAGCTGTTAGTCTAAATTTATTTATCAATTTAGAAAAATAATAATAAAGAAATACTAGCCGGAAAAATATATTTAATTTTATCTAAAAAAAATATCTCATCTGGAATCTCTTTACTTTTCATTCCATCTGAAAATACATTCGTGTTCATTGTTAACAATTTTCCCAACAATTCTAACATCGCATGATCGCAAAATAGAAGGGAAAAGATTACTTGATTTTAAGGTCGAAAGTGTTCTACTTTCTGCATTCTCAGTATGTGATGACCCATTTATTTCATTCAAACTAATTAAAATAACTGCATACCTACCACATATAAAAACTTATCAAACAAGATTCAGCTAAATTTAACCCAAATGATGTAAGATAAAGTGGTCACGCTTGAATTGGCACGCGGATGAAGACAAACGACTCGTTTGCGAGATCTTCTGTGGGTAACAGTAATTAAGCGAAGTCACTTCAATTACTAGGTCCCAGAACAATTTGGCAATTTATAAACAAGGTATTTGTATTTTACCCTTTGGTGTTGTTTCCATTAAGCTTGTTTGGTTGTGATGTTTATCGATTCACTTCGCAATGCAAGCAGTCGGTATTCTTAGCTAAGAGTGTTCGGATTGAGGCATATTAAGGTAATGTTAATTTTTTTTTTTAATCATTTCAGTTCTTGTATTCATTTACATGTTAACATTTGTTTTGTTGTTAACCTATCTTCCAGACGATGATTATATCGTAAATTCTTGGAAATATTTATTGGCATCTATAAAATTATTAGTAAACGGTGATTGCATTCCTGAGAAAATTTTGTCAAAAAAATATAAATGTTCCAGAAAGTTATTCAAGATGATTATATAATTATGATCGAGTCTTTAAAAATCGCTTCTTTTTTTCCTTTTTGTTTGTTGTTTATTTTTTTCCCCTCACTATGTTGGTTCTTGAAGGAGCTTGAACCCACACAAAAGCGAGACTTGCCCCAACCCTCCGTCGTTTTGGAGCCAAATAGTGTTTTTCTAGGTGTAAAAAAAACTTGTAATATATTAAGAAAATAAATAATAATTTTTGAATTGATATTGATTCTTGCTATTTATTTCTTCCTGTGTATTTCCTTTATCTTTTTTTTTTTACATAGATCAATAAAAATACCTCACTAAAAAGCACCAAAAATTTCGTTTCTTTCTAGGGCCTCATGTTATCACTATGATGTCAGATACCAATGCCTCAGACCTGATATTCAGTGACCAAGAATGTATAGAGGGAAATAAAGCTATTCTCTTTAATAATGTGACTTACTGCGGAAGTATTCACGACGGCCTAATGTGTTGGCCACCCACTTTGGCAGGGGAAACCATTAAGAAGAAATGTCCAAACTTCAATGGATTCGACCCTAGTAAGGAGGCAGTCCGGAAATGTGGCAGAAATGGGACCTGGGAGGAAATTGTCGAGTCCATCGTGACGATCTCAAAGACGAACTTTGCTGAATGCGTCATCTCCAACGAAATAGACATTTTCCGGAAGTTTGACGACCATATCCGGAAATCAGCGTTGACAATGAGTGCAGTGGCCCTGTCTCTTCTTTGTTTATCACTTCTGAGTATCACCGTTGTGTTTTTACTGTACTACTGCATTCTTCCAAAATTTGTCAATACGATACTTCATGTTAAGATCCACAAAACTCTTTTCATAGCCGTCATTTTGGACATTTTGGCAAAAATGACAACTCATGTTTTGGTCATCTATGAATTGAATAACATTTCATTTATCAACTCCGTAATCTTTATGAGTTTTGTGTGCAAATTCCTGGCCACATTTACACAGTACACAGAAATCGTGTTTCTGGGCTGGATTGCAATGGATGCGAATTTCTTACAAATTCTTTGCAAAGCAGACCACTTGTGCACTTCCGGTTTTACAATGTATTGCATTGTTGGATGGGGACTACCCATCGTCCCTTTGACGCTATGGGTTGTCACCTTAGTAGTTGACCACAAAGTGCAATGCTGGATCGACCATACCTCACATCCAGTCATGTGGGTTGTTGACATTTACAAACTCTTCATCCTGATCGCCACGTTTATTTTTCTTTTGTTGGCGATGGTAAGACTTCATATGTCTGCATACAAGGAAAAAGTTTACGACCGCCTCAAATTGAAATATGAAGTAATCCTGTCGTTTGTCTACTTCGTGTTCATGTTCATCTCCTGTGCCCTGGTGGTCGTGCCTACTCACATTCCGTTAAAAATGCATCAGGTTGTTCAACACTTAGCTGTCATTTTTATGTCATCCAGGGGGTTGTGCGCCGCCATTGTATATGCTTTTGTGAACAGAGACTTTCTCAAATTTTTACAACACAACGAAGTTCGCATACGTTTTGGAAAATACCTCGCTTTAAATGTTCCGTAAGTCTTCGATGAACAATCAATTGAAGAATAGTTTATAAGTTTTGTCGATGTTGAAGTGTCCGCTTGCGCTTATATAAACAACATTTTCTTCCAAAAACTATCAGAAAATTTATCATTATACATGTATAATATATTTTGCGCCAAAGATGCGAATGAACAGGGTTTTCTTTCATTTTAATTCATTTTTTAAGTAAAAAGAAAGGGTTCAAATTTCAATGTTAAACTGTGTCATCTAAGACAATTAAGGTACTTATAAAGGAGCTTGGCTGTTTATTTTCTTGTTTGTTTGTTTGTTTTTTCACTTGTAAAATTCTACAGATGACCTCTCCTGTAAAACGTTTTCCTCATTTACAGCTGCATGCTTCAGCACTTGCCCCTGAAATGTTGGCTTTAGGAGAAATGGGAAATTTTACATTCGTCTAAAATATAATTATTAAACTTAAAGCATAGAATCGTCTGTAATTAACCAACATTTGACATTTATATCTTTGTAGCAATGATTCAGCCCCCCCCCCCCCGGTTCCTGCGGCCATGTGATTGTTGTGAAAACGTATCAAATATTCATGTATACTTTAAAATCAGTAATATATATATTTATTCATTTTCAACAGTGAAATACTGTGATTTATTTATTGAATAAAAGTGATATTCTCTCACAGTGTGAAAGGATTTCAAAGTAAGTAAAAAATAATTTCTGGCCTGTCATGAGATAGAGATAGTAACTAAGCATCTTGATAGAGCTAAAACTGCAAATTTCTTCCCAAATATGTTGCTAAAATCCATGCTATGTAATGTTTTCAATCACACAACTGCTAAGCAATGACGTCTCAACCTCTCAACTATGACATCAAGCCTATGACACTGTTAAGAAAAGACAGAGGCAAAGGGAAAATCAAAGATTTCAAAATGTAATAAACAGAAAATCCAATGTTATGTAGATGAATATGGAATTTATTTCACTCGTGAGACAGGATTTTTTGATATTTTCACTCGTGTTTCGCACTCGTGAAAATAAAAAAAAAAAAATCCTGTCCCACTCATGAAATAAATTCCATATTCATCTACAAAACATTGAATATCCTCTCTCTCTCTCTCTCTCTCTCTCTCTCTCTCTCTCTCTATATATATATATATATCGGAAAACAATAACAGTATTTGAATAGGACTATCAAATCAAAGTTATACAACATAAATGTCATATGGGTTGATTCAGTAAAAATATATAAATGTATACTGTTAAACTAGATTAATACGTCGTTCTTTAATTGAACACCTGTGCCTTTTACACCTGGCAGGAAATTCCTTCGTGGATATCGTGATTAAGAGACCCCAGTGTTCGAAAATAAACTAAAAATGAAAAGACATAAAGAAGGAATGCAGAAATAATGGTGAAAAGATTTTTTTAACGTCCGGAACTACAAAGATGTGAATTGTCAGATCCTTCATTGTATGACTAAAATTTTTGCTAAGCTACAATGATTAATGATAGCTGTTTGAGGATTGAAAGTATTTAACTCAGAAATAGCTATCTACCAACGGGTTTTGTGATCCAATTTGCGTCACAAGATGCCAGGACTTAACTAACCTTGTCCAATGACGTCACAAGTAGTGACCTTGACCTGATTATATCTTAACTCCATTGTCAAGTTACCGTTTTCTGATTTAAACAAAAAAAATTAAATTCTTCAAAAACGCCGGATATACGTATGTCAATCAACTCCTGTTTTCTGAGAAATAGTGGACGGTTTTTGCAACATCCGACACAAACACAAATTATCGTGTGTGTGTGTGTGTGTTGGGGGGGGGGGGGTTATAGGGGTCTGACCCATGCCCACTTTTTTCAAAACATAACCTTTAACTTTTGAAAATGTTTATCGAAAGGTCGGTTGCCCCCATCTCCTTTTTGTTGTTGTATAGTTAAACCGCAACATGGTTATGTATTGATAACATAATTTGCTTGAGAGAACACAATTGAAATTGACCACCCACACTCTCGAAATAGTATTTTCGAGTCTGGAGAATCCCCCCTTTTTATATATTTATTATTTATTTGGCTTGTTGTCAAAGATCTTTTCAGGTAAGTTGTCATTTTTTTTCTAATTGGCTCCCCAATTTCAACAAGAGGTCCATGTGTCACAACGCTCACTGATTAACTTTAACTTTGTTCTTCTTCATTAGATTTTTAGAAGATTTTATATTCTCTTGAAAAATTGAGACTGTTTTTAAATATATCGTCTTCGACTGATACATCTTTTTATGTATCAGTCGAAAACGATATATTTAAAAACAGCATATAGAGACAAAAGGGTTACATTATTGATAACATACAGTGCATATTAGAATACAAAAATAGGAAAAAGGTGACTCGACCCCAGATTTAAAAAGGAAAAAAAATGGAAAGGGGGGGGGGGGTCCATACCCCAAGTGCCTGTGCTTAAACTAATCGTATCGCACCTGTATAGAACGGGGCGTTGTCCAGTCCATTCAGGCCCTCTGTGTAATTGTAGAAGCCGTCAGACGTGAAGAAAAGTTCATGTATACCGTTCTCTTCCAAAATCTATCGAAAAGTTATTGAAATCATCTAAATACATTCGTATACAGCATAAATCACACGATTTACTGGTTACATGCGGCTAACGGCCACTTTTCCTGTTGGTATACACTTTAAATTGGAATGCTGACTTATCTTTTGCTGTGCTTGCAAAGGATCAGTATGTTTTAGTGTGTACAATACTTAAGGTTTCCAGTGCAAGTTCTTTGACTGTCGAAATACTTGTTACCAAAATACATGTACTTAAATTAATATGTCCAAACTAAAGCAAGCTAAATTGCATGCATACCTACGTGCACATACAAACACACAATGCACAAAGTAGTTGCTGGAACAAAATTATCCGATATGTATATATGTTTAATACATTTCAAGTGGCTTTAAAAATGGCTTGAAATGAGAAATCTGACCTGTTTAAGAAACAGTAAATGCTTTGTGTCATTACTGTAGGAACCAAACTCGTTTTCGACTTGTACTGCTATGATAGGTCCGCCTCTGTGATACTGAAGATAAGAAAGTACATACTGATTAATTGATTAAAATCCAAGATAGTAACCGAAATTTGGTTCTATGTTGTTTTACGTCTAAGTCAAGAAGACTACTGTACACAAGTAGCTCTCACTGTTATACACATGTGTATGTATGTACAGTGTACTTCGTGTCACGACACCGCTGTGTTTTCCTTTTACTGTTCAACGTACTACAGTACGTACACTTTTGAAAATGATGACAAAAAAAAAAAATTGGTATGAACGGTCCCAGAATTGAGACCTACATGTACATGCTTTTATTGTGCATGTTGACCCCATCCCCAATCTTTTGGAGTTTTTTTTTCAGTTTTGAACCAGATCATCAAAAAGCAATTAACAGACATTCCTCTATTAACCCTTTTAGACATTTTCTTCGAAATACTTTGCCCTTAAATACATTTTCAACGCCTTTTTAATGTGTCAAAATATTTTGCTTTTCCATCGAGATAATCAATAACAGCCGATGGATAATATATTTTCCACATCATTTTAATGTATATGTATATCGATTTTCATAAATTCTTCATGAAAATGTGAGTAAACAGTCACTAAGCAAAAAGAAACAAAAAGAAAAAAAAGACATAAACAATTTCTAAACCAATGTGGGGAAACAGTATCTAAGAAAAACATATAATCATACTGATAATGAAAAATAATTCCGCAATTATGATTTTAAAGAGTAATATTGTCAGTCTATTACATCTGTACCTTTCATATGGCCATGGCTCAACATTTACCTACGATATTCACTTTTCCATCGGAAAATTGCCAACAAATGTAACTTGTCTGAATTAAGTTTTTACTTGTCCGATTACGAACAGTACGTTATAAAGAAAATATTGATTGGATGTTGTTTTACGTCCCTTTCGAGAACGTTTCACTCATATGAAAAGTCACCATATACCGGTGAAGGGCTTCAAATTCATCTTCGCCAGCCAAGAGTTTCTGATCCGCTACTCTCCACGATTGTTAGGAGAGTGGCGGATCAGAACCCTTTGGCTAGCGAAGATGACCTTTACTCGGAACTCAGTGTTATTTCATTACATTTATTGCAGTGAGCAGGGGTTTCAATAATTTTAAAGTGAAGATGTGACTTTATCCATTTGAAGAGGCTGTTTTAGAATTATTTCCAAAATAATTTATTTTTGCCAGCTATGAAATTGAAGCGGCAAATTCCTATCATTGAAAAGGTGAAAAATCGCCTCCTGTCACCCCTTATTGAAAACCCTGAGTGAGGGTTCTTTATTGTGACAACGCCTACTGTGATACGGGACCTCGATTTTTTAAGGTTTCGTCCGAAAGATCCGTGACCTTCTTTCAGTGCCGAAGGAACAGTCACCACCTACGATTATTTTCACGGCTTAGGTTTGACGCAGTGCCGGTGACGAGAATCGAACCCCCCGGTAAACCGGCACCTCCCAATCACGAAGCGAGTGCCCTTATTAAGAAATAATTTGAATTTTATCATAATCAAGAATGAAGGGGTTTTAGATAAACTCACATATCAAAATTTGTTTAATCATGAAATAAAACACATTTCAATTGATTTAATCCATAATATTGTATCGTTCATTAGCGGTATCTGATGGGGGTGTGACTGAGCCCTGAGAGTTGTAATGTTAAGTGTTTTATGTTTACAAGTGCATTTTAAAAAAATCAGTGTTTTATGAAATCTGTCATTTTTTTTCTCCATATTCACACTATTCCATAAAGGTTAAAAATTTTCAGAAAAGTGTGTCTGGAGAATTGGCTTGTCCGATCACAAAATGAACTGGACACGAACAATCGGACAAGTGTCCGATCACAAAATGAACTGGACACGAACAATCGGACAAGCTCTGCCTGTACGTCGTGACTGGTTACAATCTGCCTGCATTTCAACCTGCGGCAAATTATCTGATTGTTTGAAAAATACATAAATTCAATTATTGTAAATTAGTGAGGTCATAGAAAAGGTCATATGACAAGTCATTACAATATACCCGTTTCCTATATGAGAGACATAGGGCAGGGCGCGGCTCGAGCTAGCGTCTTAAACACTCCAAATATTACTTATGTTAAACTATTTGCATGTACGAAGTAGTTACGTCCCTCATACCCGTCTGGTGATTATTTCATCAGCAGTCATTCTCAAAAGACTTTCGAAGATTTTTCCTCTTTTGCCAAACAATATAATCAATAACTATGCATAAACAATCAGTATTGGTAAATCTGCATTACTGATTTGACAGTTTATGTGTTTTATGATGTGCAGTGAAATTAATTATTTACATACTCTAGCGATTGTGTTTGACTTCCACGTACATGTTCGCGGGTCAATTACCTTTAACCGTGTCTATTCTACACGTGTAAGTATCAAGGTTATACAAATCACGAGAGTTTAACCAAAAGTCTTTGACGAGACTGTAACTCTACTGGTTTTTATTGAAATCGGACCAAAACTTTATGAGGAGTAATTATTATTATTTTTTTTTTTTGAACAAACGTACAGCTACGTATCATAATACGGACAACTGTGCAGAAAAATTTTCATTACGCGCTAATGTTCACGATTTTCAATTTGCCAGCAGAGCCGTGTTATAATGTCACGAAGAACGTCAAGTATCAACAATTCAATGCTTTGATTATGGATGTATATTCAACGACAATAATTTAGACATTGGAGTCACATACATTAGGTGTTTTCATCCAATGCCGCAATATAACCATCTTCGCTAGCCAATGGTTCCCGTCCACTCCCATTTATAGGGATCGGAATGGACCGAAAATCCTTGGCTGGCGAAGATGCAAAATAACACACCCCTTAAAAATATCTACATCACTCCCCTTCTTCGATTTATATCAAATACATTTTAAGATAATTTTTACTTAAAGTACCAACAATTAGGAAGAAATTAATTAGGGGAACACATTCACCCATTATCAGTACCTTAAATTCACTGAATTCAACTTTTTTTCATGGATCATAAAAATCATGTTTCTTACGTCGTATTTTGTCAGACCCCTAACTATTCTTGCCCAGAGAGATGTAAAATTTCAGCCTTTACATGTACCTGCAAATCTGAAACTTCGGCGATAAGTCGGGAGAAGTACCTTCTAACATGTGATTGGTAACCATGGTAGTTTGTCCTAACTTTCATATCTGGATCCCGTAACAGCCAACTATAGTAAAAGCAATTCAGTCAAAATTACGAAAATCAAAGTATGAAGTACATCTAAAATACACAAGCCCACACACATAAAGTTATCTTAAAAGTAAAGATGGATTTAAATCTACGGTTACAGGCCACTTATTTTAATTTCCAAATAAATATCAATAAATGTATCTAGTATCGAAAAGATTTCTCTCTTATAGCAAAATTTGTCTTACGCAGGAAGACCCCCAAAATCCCACTCTGAGCAGATGTATGGCCCTGGTCGGAATATGACGTACAGTCCCGCTCTCTGGGCCATATTGATGAATCTCCTAAAAAGTAACCGGATATTAAAACAGTAACCGGAAATTGCATCAATCGGAAATAGCATCTTTTGTCGCTAAAATTGGTCTGTCAGGGATTGATAAATTTCCTTTTGGATACGGCATATTGTCAAGAATAAAATATGAAAGATGATTTAATGTCATGATTTCTTGCAACTACTCATTATATCTTAATAGCATGGTTTTATTCTTTAATCTTCAAACTTGACCAATATGAGTATTTTTACAATAATTTGACGTATTTTTCAGTTTAACACCTTTTATTATAGATCACACATCAGATCTATCAGTTTCAAGGATTGTTCTTATTATCCTTTCTATTCGACAATTATATATTTTTGTCATATACATTTACCGTAAGTTAAGAATTCCCTTGAAATTGTAACTACCGGGGTATGGCTCGTGTTGATTCCAAGGAGCATAACTGCAAAAAAGTAGTATAAAGTACGTGTGTTGTTATTCTAAAACTGATAATCGCAAAAGCAAAGGATAACAAGATGTGTTTGTGAAACACTGATGCCCCCGTAAGGCAACTTATAGCGAACGTTAAACTTTTAACGTTAAACTTTCTCAAATGCAAATCAAATATGCTGGTACCCAAAGTAAAGGTCTTGTACCGAGGAATATACCTGTGAAATGTGAAAGCCCTAGCAGCAACTATTGAAAAGATATGGAAAAGGTTATTTTTCAAAAGTAAGTCAAACATCAAGGTCAAGGTCAAATGGTCAAAATTAATGGTGCCCAAGGAAAGGCCTTCTCAAAAGAAATATACATGTGACATATGAAAGCCCTAGCAACGACCGTTTAAAAGATATGGCCAAGGTTAAAGTTTATCAAAAGTAGGTCAAACTCCAAGGTCAAGGTCAATAGGCTACAATTGTTGGTATCTAAAGGAAGGGCTTGTCACAAGGATTATACATGTGAAGAATGAAAGCCCTTGCACCAACTGTTCAAAAGTTATGGCCACGGTTAAAGTTTTCCAAAAGTAGATCAAACTCCAAGGTCAAGGTCAAAGGGTCAAAGTTGTTGGTATCCAAAGAAAGGTCTTGTCACAAGAATTACACATGTGAAGTATGAAAGCCCTAGCACCAGCCGTTCAAAGGTTATAGCCAATGTTAAAGTTTTACAAAAGTAGGTTAAACTCCAAGGTCAAGGGGTCAAAGTTGTTGGTATCCAAAGTAAGGTCTTGTCACAAGGATTACATATGCTAAGTATGAAAGCCTTAGCACCAACCGTTCAAAAGTTATGGCCAATGTTAAAGTTTTTCAAAAGTAGGTCAAACTCCAAGGTCAATGTCAGAAGGTCAAACATGGTGGTACCTTAAGAAACGTCTTGTCACAAGAAATACACCATCGTCGGAAACCCACGGGTGATCTCGTCTTTACTCATCACCCGTGGGCAAACTCGTTGAAATATCGCCGTAAAATATGCTAATTTGTTGATTATAGACAAATAATCAAAAAGTTGGAACTCTTCAATTTTGAAAATACGTCTATTAGTTTGCTATTTATGGTAAACATTTTGACGCTCGTTAAAACGAACGAAGTTTGTTTTAAAACGATTAAAGTCAATTCGCACAGGTCACTGACATTAAATACCAGTCAGAAATTGTAAAGGAGTACCTTTTTCAAACTGCAAAATGCACCGGTGAGTGGATTTATTAGCAATCGGTGTGTTAACTAGGGCCTGTTAAAGGTGCTTAGACACAGATTTGAAGTTAATATTTTCTCAAATTTTCTGTATAATATCACGACTTATATATTGCAATAGCATTTCACACGAAAATATAATTAAAAACCTATTTTATTTAGAAATTATTGGAACTACGAGTTCCTAGACGCATTTGATTAACACATCATTGCACTTTCACAAATTTTATCTTTATCCTTAATATTTAAGAAAAGAAGCGATTTTGTTGTGTATTAATGAAAAACATTACATCTATAATTCAGAAAATTCAGAGTAGAAATGTGCGAAAGCAAACCTTCTCACTAATATCATCAGCCCGTGCTCAGTGTTGTGTACAGAGTTTAACAAATTGAATACACCCGTGAAACGTAAACTGTTTTTGTAAACAGGGCACGAGCTCTGTTATTGTTAATGTTTACGATTCACAGGGTGTGTTCAATTGTTAAAGTCTGCACACACCACTGAGCACGGACTGTCAATACTGTGAGTGGGTTTTGCTTTCGAACATTTCTACTCTGAATTTTCTGGATTATAGTTTTAATATTTTTCATTAATACACAACAAAATTGCCACTTTTCTTAAGTATTAAAAATAAAATTAAAATTTGTGAAAGTGCAAGGATGTGTCAATCAAACGCGTCCAGAAATTTGAAGTTTCAATAACTTCGAGATGAAGTAAGATTTTTATTTTACTTTAGAATGAAATGCTATAGTAACATATAAGTCATGAAATTATACAGAAAATTTGAGAAAATATTAACTTCAAATCTGTGTCCAAGCACCTTTAACTACGGAATAGTTTTGGCATTGCCGAGCATACATACATAACCTGAACTTTAATTCGTTGATTTGCCATCGCGACTCTGTTCAGCCAATCAAATGACCCACGCATATTAATTACATACGACGATTTTTCGGCGAGTTTGCCCACGGGTGATGATTAAAGACGAGATCACCCGTGGGTATCCTACGATGGAAATACACATGTGAAGTATGAAATCCCTAGTACCAATCGTTCAAAAGTTATGGCCAAGGTTAAAGTTGGGAAAAATTTTGCAAAACTTGGTCAAACTCCAAGGTCAAATATGGTGGTACCCAAGGAAAGGTCTTGTCACAAGAAATATACATGTGAAATATGAAAGCCATAGCTCCAACCAATCAAAAGTTATGGGCAATGTTAAAGTTTTTGCGGACAAACAGATAAACAGACAGACAGACGGACGGACAGGGCAAAAACTATATACCCCCGAATCTTCGATACGGGGGCATAAAAACATGTTAGAATTAATGAAAAATATTAGATATAAACATCTAAACCTTGGCACAATCTGTTGGATAAATCAAATCTGCAACTTCCTCAGTTTGCAATTTCTGACATTTACAGGCTTATATTAAGAAATAATTATCGATAATAAGCGTGAGGAATATGCTCATCCGATACACTTTTTAAAGGAAATATCAATTTCTTATTCTATACAAATTACTGTCATAGAGGAGACTTTATCATTAATAGCTTCAGAGGGGAAGAGGTTTGTAAATTTCCATTCAAGTGAGACTGCAAGATCATGCTTATTTAATTCTTACAGTGTGAGAGTGTTGAGTCCACATGCCTTCATTTTCCGCATCCGGTCCCACCAATATTCCGGAACGACCCGAAAATAATGCAGACTTCCGCTCAAAATATGTAGCGGATTGCCATCCAAATAAAAAGTTCGGTTCTGAAATGTCAAACTTCCATTACTCACATAGGGAGAATCACTAATCTGTGCAGACGTAGTGGTAATAAGCAAGAAGGTTATTGCAGTGGCACATGCAGAGGTGCAGAGTCTCGTGTCCATTGTTCTCTACAGGTTGCTGTCTTCTGCAGACGTTGCACTGTCGTCTGCACTTAGATAAGAGTGACTTTGGTTATCTCTAGAAGAGAAAAACCGCGTAAAGGTGTTAAGTTGGTAGCACCGTGTGGGTTTGAGTACATGGCTACATCCATTATCATACCAAGCTACTAATCCTATCATTTTCTAAATAAAATTTCAAGTGCCTTTTATCTGATTTGACCCATTTGTTGGACAAGAAGAAAGGTCAACATCCAAAACAACACTTAAATGTTCAAACGAGTTGTAATCTTACTTTAATTGGTCGAATAAAGCTCTAAATTAATAAAATGCATTTTTCAAAAACTTATCAAGATTTTAGTCAATATAGTTTTTTTGTTTTGCTTTGTTTTTTGTTTTGTTTGGTTGTTGTTGTTTGTTTTGTTTTGTTTTGTTTTTTTTGAAAAGATATATGACGATTCTTCCAACATTAAAGTTGGTATAATCCAGAGATGATAAAAAGAATTCTAATATTCATCTGCTCACACACAGAGAGTGTGAGCTTTTCCAACTAAACATTTGTGAAAATTTTACAGTCTTTATGTAACAAACGTGTGTTTTAATTTGAATTTTCTAATCATTTCATGTCATTAGAATATCAAAATGCACATGGGAGTAATTCGAAATCGATTTGAAAATCAAACATTTTCAATTAGTTCTCTCATAAACATGATAATAATACCAATTATTTCAGGAAAGTTAATTATTAAAAGATATTTGTACCCCAAAACTTAACATAAAGATTGCTTATGACATGAGAGTGTGTCATGACCTTTAATCAAGGTCATTTAGCCACGTTTAAGGTCACTGGCAAAAAAGTGTACAAGTTGAGTAAATTCATAACTTTCTTATAAAGTAACACTGGAATTTCATGCTTCACACAAATATTACTTACGGCCTGAGGGTCTGTCATAAATTCTAATTAACCCAGGTCATTTTTACAAGTTCAATGTTACTGGCAGAAATGTTTAATTCCTGTGCTAGTCATATCTTTTAATGGTGAAATGAAAGTTCACAGGAACAAAAAAAAAAAAAAATCACTTGGAAGAATGCCATGTCCTTGATACGGGTGGTTTAGGTTAGTTCGTGGTTACTTGCAAAATACATGTAATGTGTATTTTTTAAAATCATTTTATGATCGTTTTAAGAGAGAAACATTAGATGCTTGTACATCAATCAAAGAATGCTTATAACCAGTTAGTATGTCATGACCTTTGTCCAAGGTCATTTGAGCAAGAAAAAGGTCAACAGCACAAAAACCGTTAAATTATTATCTGCTCAACTTTGTATCAGAAAAGGATTGGAAACCCATACCTGACACAAAGGTTACTTATGACCTGGGGATGTCAAGATCTTGACCTAAGGTCCTTTGGACAAGCTCAAGGTCACTATCAGAAAAATAAAATGTAATGCAAAACGGATATTAGCTATTTCATTCAAAAAAAATCCTACAAATAATTATTATATATTTTGAACTCACTCATAGTACCTTTAGTTGTGTCTAACATTATTCTGGCTTTGATTCAATTGTATCATTTTTCACTTACTAATTCCCTCATGGGTAAAAGGTCATTTAGAAAAATAATTTTTTAAAAAATGTTTTGTAACAAAAGGATAAAGCTTGAACTGTGTCGTATGGAATTCCATATACGACAGCCAACTGCTTACTGCCAACTGCTCACTGCTTACTGCCAACTGCTCACTGCTTACTGCCAACTGCCACACATATTTGAATAAATTTTCATATTTATATTGATATTTATGTGAATTTTCATAAAACCAGGCGCGCATCCAGGATTTTTTTTACAGGAGGGGCCCACCCCAGTAAAAAAAAATCCAACCCAGAAATTTCTTGACAAAAAAACAAAACAAAAAAAAACGTAAACTCCTCAACTAAACGTGAAAAACCTATTTCGGCGGGGGGGGGGGGGGGGGATTGACATCTTATGCTTCATATCTCTGACTTTTCATATCAACTTAACACGGATCCGCGTTTTCTAGGGGTGGGTGGGTTTCCAAGGTCACTTTTAGTTGGTGTAGTATAGGTCTATACATTGAATAACTCTACAAATTCCAGGGGGTGGTCTGGAACCCCCCCTTCCCAACGACCCCCCCCTCCTCTAGATCTATGTATGTAAAACATAACTTATTTGGGAAAACAAAGAGATATAAATCTTTAATTTGAAAAAAATATTTCACTATAGAAATTAACGGAAAATGGAAATTTATTTTCAAAACATCTTCCCCCGCGAAACAACAGATCCTTTTTTTCAGTTTTTATTTGTTGTCTCACGGGGGGGGGGGGGGGGGGGGGGGGCACGTGGTTAAAGATTAAAAACAGGAAAATAGTCATTTTATGACCAATTTTAAATGAGATCACAAATAAAAAATGTACTTTATCACTTTATCAATCTCATATGTTAAATTTTACATAAGTTAAAACATACGGTGAGATTCAAGAGTCATTTATCCATTATCATTTTCATGAGTATTTGAAAATGGTGACGTTTTCAGCCTGATTTCAATTAATAAAATTTTCTACCCCCTTATGAAAGGAGTTGTAAATAAGAGCAATTAACTTTTTGTCACTGGTTTTTTAAAATTAGTTCTTAATACTAATGAACTTTTCTTGCATTCAAACAAGTTTTTATGTCCAAATTGCCATTTATATTGAATTAAATGGATGGAAAATGTAGGCGGAAATCGAGAGTTGGTGTGCATAGTTCTTACAATAATAACAAAATTTGGCGGAATTTGGCCAACTTTAAAGTTGGAATTACCAACTTTAAAGTTGGGAAAGCCAAGATTAAAGTTGGAAAAGCCAACTTTAAAGTTGGAATTTTCATCTTTAAAGTTGGAATTTCCAATTTTAAAGTTGGCAAAGCCAACTTTAAAAAAAAAACATTACGTGGCACTAATACGCTTCCGTAAGGGAGAACTACTGTATATAGTATATGTTGGAAATTTAGTGTTTACGCCCCCCCCCCCCCAACCACCACCACCACGAATGTTTTTTTACAGATCTAACAGGTCGAACATTAGCCATTAAAACGATTTACATAAGACACATATAAAAATTCCCACACATAGGTACTTTTCCTAGGGTAAAAAGAAAATCCAAAAGTTTTACTCGATGTTTTAAACTAGGCAAAAGTTATTTGTTATTATAACTTTCAGTAATATTTCTATTATAAATACATATACCAACAAATGTTACTCAAGACCCTTTTAAAAGTTTGTTCTTTTGTCGTATGTGACCCGCCCCCCCCCCCCTTACCCGCGTCAAAAAAAGCTATCAAATTATTTGCCTGCAACGAAATGCAGAAATTAAATGTTTTGTTTTTAAGAGGAAACACCCCTTCTTCCGATTTACTCCCTCCTCGACTTTACAGTTTAAAAATTCCTAAATCCGCCAAATTTTGTTATTATTGTAAGAACTACGCACTCCAACTCTCGATTCCCGCCTTCATGAAAATGAAAATGGATAAATGACTCTTAAATCTCACCGTATGTTTTAACTTTTGTAAGATTTAACATGTGAGATTGATAAAGTGATAAAGTACATTTCTTATTTGTGATCTCATTTAAAATTGGTAATAAAATGACTATTTTCCTGTTTTTAATCTTCAAACACGTGTCCCCCCCCCCCCCCCCGTGAGACAACAAAACCTTTGGAATGAATAAAAACGGAAAAAAGGGATCTGTTGTTTCGCGGGGAAGATGTTTGAAAATAAATTTCCATTTTCCGTTAATTTCTATAGTGAAATATTTTCTCAAATTAAAGATCTATATCTCTTTGTTTTCCCAAATAAGTTATGTTTTACATACACGGATCTAGGGGGGGGGGGGTCGGTGGGAGGGGATGGGTGGGTGTCCGGACCACCCCCTGGAATTTGTAGAGCTATTTAATGTATATATTAAACCAACTAAAAGCCACTGTGACCTTGGACCCCCCCCCCCCTCCTAGAAAACGTGGATCCATGTTAAGTTGATATGAAAAGTCATAGATATGAAGCATAAGATGTCAATCCCCCTCCCACCCCCCACCCCCCCACCCCCCGAAATAGGTTTTTTACGTTTATGAAAGGATTTTACGTTTTTGTTTGTTTGTTTGTTTGTTTTTTTTTTTTTTTTTTTTTTTTTTTGGTCAAGAAATTTCTGTGTTGGATTTTTTTTTACTGGGGTGGACCCCTCCTGTAAAAAAAATCCTGGATCCGCGCCTGGTTTTATGAAAATTCACATAAATATCAATATAAATATGAAAATTTATTCAAATACGTGTGGCAGTTGGCAGTAAGCAGTGAGCAGTTGGCAGTAAGCAGTGAGCAGTTGGCAGTAAGCAGTTGGCTGTCGTATATGGAATTCCATAGTGTCGTGTCTGAATTAAAAAAAAAATAACGAATTTCAATTATAAAAAAAATCACAACACCAAAATCCAGGGTGTATATTTGCCCTCCATCGTGTGGATTATGTGGCATCCTTAATCAAAAAGAAGTGTAAGTAATGTACTAATATATTTTCAAAGTATAATCATTATGCCCATAGAGTTGGATAATTTATTTTTTATATTTAATTGTTTTGAAAATATTTCTTTCATGATATTCTGTTTTATTTCTAGTTGTTGGTTATGAGTATACCCATTGCCAACGATAACAAATTTGATTTGTATATGCACACAAAATGCTGTGTAAAACGGTAGTGTTTATGGTACAAGCTACTAATCTCCCTGGTTTATGTCTTTTCCATCAACATACCCGATAGGTTAAAGAAATTGTTTTGACTCCACTTACACTTTAAAGTTAAGAATGCGACTTGTACAAGGAAGCCAAGAAACAACACAGATTTAATGTCTCCTAAGTTGTATACATCTGAAAAGAGTAAATTCGTTCCACACCTACTTTCTCGTGATGTCATTTTTGTGTCGCCTGCAGAGCAGAGCGGCACTTAGGGATCACTTTACCCGGCGTCTGTCTGTCTGTCTATCAATCTGTCACATCCTGTATCTGGAGAACTGTTTTGAACATATTTTATTATGTAATAAATACATAAC